CTGTGCTGGTGTGTTCGGAATGCCAGGGAGCAGTTTTCATGTTGCGCTCTGTAATCTCCGCGAATCATTGTGCGAAACATGTGCTCATCTGCGCTAATCCCTGCTCGCACTTGTTGCTGGTGTCCAGCTCTGCAAAGACCAATCTTCAAAGCCTGCTCCTGAGCCTTTTAAACCGTAAATTTCGTGTATGCTGAACAAGAAAGCCTCAGCAAATCCCAGCGTGGTCTAGCGGTCTCATCAAGCACAGCGTTTGTTTCTCTTAGCATCCTCAACGAAGGAGAAAATGAATGCAGTTGTTGCATGTGTCAGACGTGTTAGCAGCATGAATATTTGGCCGCTTATGTAGTGGTGTTTTGTTGGCTGGCTTTCTCTGTGGGAGTGAGAGCTCTGCTGTGCAAGACTCAACCTGCTGATGACCGTCCCGTCAATATTGTAGACTGAACGAGGCGGCGGGACGGTGTAGAGTGCCGTTTGCTTGACTCCACGCCAAATATTGACATGGGCAATAGGACCCAACCAGTCACGACTGCTTCCTTCCATGTTAGCCCTTCACCCCCTCTCGCTTACGTCTCTCGTTTATACCTTTTAGCTCAAAATCTCGACTCACGTGATTACTACAGTGATTTTATGAGCCATTTCCTCTCACCCCAGTCGTCTGCTTCTTACGAAGAGGAAGTATTGTTACTTTAGTCTTTTTCCTTGCATTATTTCTTGACTGAGGCCTGACGTCTCCGAAAATTTCACGGTTAAATATTTTGTTACTAAATTGTTCTAACTTCAGTTGTGTTTATTTTATTATTTCTATGTTGAAAGAATTTTACGTTTCTGACCTTTCATTGAAATGCATTTGTTTCAAAGTTTGTCTGTTTGACTGGTTTCATCGGACTTGACTCTTAGAAAGCTGCGCATACGAGTGCCATTCATTGATGATATTAATTGCTTACTGACAGTTGCCTTGACTGTTGGCCGCGGATCCCACGCTTTGCTGTCGCAACAAAGACTCACTCTTGACTTTCAAAGCGCCGCCAAAACACACGAGCCTGCGCTCACTGCCTCTAATTGCTCAAAGTTATCTTTTGTGCTGCGCGCCCAGGTTGTTCTGGCCTGAACCTTGTTATCGTTTACTTGATCTCTCTAAAATCCCACGGCTTCAATTTGTTTAACTTTATACTTTCCGCATGTTACTTAATAGCTTCATTAATGTATTATTTTATTCTTTTGTATATATTTCTGTGTTTTTTTTTCTGATCTGTTTATTTATCTAATATTTAATCATTTTCTTCGCGTATTTATCGAGGGAAATTGAGCGTCAAATTCCACATGATTAATAAACGCTTAACAACTTGTTTCATTGTAATTCCAAGTTTTTCAGTACTTGATTTCGATAAAAATGAATTCCCTGGGAATGATGCACGCCGTACAGTATTGCTGGAGATCATTCGGATGGAGAATTATAAAACAAGTATCGTGGCAAATATTTAGGCTTGTTTTGCCCTGCGCGGAAGTGTAGGATAAAGTTCTTGTATGTAGGACCTTTGGTTGGAGCTTGTCCGAACGGTCCCATAACCTGGAACTTCCCCTTCTGGCCGTGGCAATTTACGAGGCTGTAATGCCACATGTCGCGTCCCCTTAGGCCCGAGTGATGAGGCAGCGTCTCGTGATGTTTTTACGTGGAGCCGCCAGGGTCCTTCGTGTTGACGATTTCGTCGCTTCTGTGTATGCCTTGATCAGTCAGTGAAATTGATGATGGTATAGGTTGAAGCTGTTCACGATGACAACTCAAATTTCAATACACCTCGACGGATTTGTTTAGCGTCGTTTTTAATTAATTTGTTATCAACGTTTTTCGCTTCATCCAAGTGATAGTTTAGTATCGCGTTTATATTTGTTATCGCGCTTATCGGACCATCGAAGGCAACGCAGTAAGTATCTTAGTATCAAATGGGTGCCATCTCGGCTCAAGCTAATACGCGTAGTTGATTTATACTAGATGTAACACTCTTAGTGTAACATCTGAGTTACAGTATATTAAAAAAAATCTACGGATATTTTACCTATCGTGATTGATCTACTCATCTTCGTCTGTGTTCCCGTCAGTAGACAAAGAATCAAAGATTTGAATAGTTTTTGGTGGTTATGGTGTATTGATAGTCAAGCGATAATGTTATTATTTCGATTTTTGGTTTTTGTTATCTATTGTTACCCAAATAAGTTGCATGAGGTGAATCCACATGGCCCACAATAATGTGAATTCATATTCTCTCAAGCTTTAAACATAAAAAACGGTAATAATATTGTTATTTTAATTGGAAAGCAGCCTCATAAAGTTTGTGCCTTCCACAAATGTCTTATTGCAGTGTTTTTAAAGCCATGATTCATAAGTAAACTGAAGTTATAAAACCTCACGAAACAAGTGTCGTGCGCGCGGTGGTTTCGTGCGCAGTTTGTATCAGTCCCGCTTAGTCATTTCTCGTCGCTTGACATGTAAATTTATGCCACCGCTAACGCCACTTTTGAGCGGAATTCATGACTTGAATTTAAATCATTTTAACTGCGAGTGTACGCCGGATCTGGCGCCGAGGAACTTCTTGACTAATAAGCGATTCCAGCTATTAAGAAGTTTTGCATGACAATGAGGCAGGGAGAACCTGTACGTTAAGCCGCTTGTGGCGTGCGCTTGCTTACGAGAACAATAGCGTATCAGCTGTTATTTTGATTCATTGGAAGAATTTAGGTTCTTTTATTCGTATTGTTATTTTAATTCCTGAAATAACTTGTGATTTGAACCATAATGATGTCGTTGAAATAAATCATCTTAATTTATCGGTTTAAAGTATAATTATTGCGGAACTATGAGGCTACCTTTATAAAACATCGCAACACGTAGTCTATTCAGAAAAGAGTGAGACATAGTCACAGTAATGGTGTTAGCATTTTCTTGGAGTCTCTGCAGGCGAAGGCCTTTCTATTGTCTCATAAACTTCGTCTTTTTTCGAGTCAGCGGCACTTACACTTTGGGTGAGGTTGACCTCCCCTCCAACATAGCGCCCATCTGCCCTCCTCCCATCCGAGACCCTTGGGAAAGACTGTGGCCATCTTCAAGAGCAGTTTGAGACGCAATTTAGCCAAGGTGTTTTTTTGGAGCTTGTAGCCTGATCGGTGTGGTAACTTTAATGAGCTTATTGCCGCCGTCCTGCCTCTCCTTCTACTGGTGCTTTCTTCTTCTACGTTGGAACTTCAGAAGTCGACTGTTGTGGAACTCTGCATAATAGAGAGTTGATGAGGAATAATTTTAGAAGTTAAGAAATAGTGGCAAAGAATTCGATGCGCACCATCGTGCCTTTTCAATATTTGATCTGAGTTTAGCTGCATATCTGTGAAAATTTCCCGGTAACTTTGCATATTGGTTGTAGCGCCGACACTCGCGTCCAACTATTCGAAAGTCTACGGAATTGAGTGCCATGCTTTTGAATCGTGCCTCCCAATTATTCCTACTTCTTGTGGCCGATTTTACATCAAAATCATTTATTCTCGGAAGGTTTTCCAGAAGCTTTGCAATTCAAACGACTTCTCCTATTATTTGCGCATTATTTTAGATTCGTAATTCAAACACTATCGAGCTAGCTCTGTATCAACTATATCTTTCAAATTAACGTCGAAAGGCAACGCCAAATTCTTCTCATGACAACGCCTCGCACATCAGTCGATTTTCTTTTGGTTTTAGCGCAAGGTAAATCTAACTAAGTAATTTTTTCGTCCTAAATATTCAATCATTCTTGTCATTGGACACCGCAATTGTACTTTATTGGCAACTTCAATTTTTTTTGGACTTGAATCAATTCGCGATGGTCGTAAAGGATAAGGTAGTTTGAAGGATTTTCATTAAAAACAGTTGGGAGGATTTAATCCATTTTTGGTGCTAGCGAAGAAAAATGATTTTGGTTAGAAAAAGGTAATTTTTGAGATTCTCTACTAGAATAATTTGAGCCCTTTTATAAATGAAGTTCCGCCTGCTTGCAATTGAAAATGGGGATTTTATTGAATTTAAAATATTCATGAAGATTTATTCAAGTAGTATTTAGGTTGATTTTAATCAATATGCGATGTTAAAAAATACTGTATTTATGAATTTTGGGCAAGCGGATAATTTAGGAGTTTTTCGCTCAACAATTGACAAATTTATTGCTCAGTAATTATAATAGAACTTTTTGCATGCTAATCCAGAGTTTTTTGGTGAAAAATGTGAGATTTATTATACTTATACCACTTGTCCACTTCAGATATCGTACAGTAATCACAAGCTTCATTGAACAACAATTAAAGAGTTCTCAAATTAACTATCGTATATTTTGGCTACAGTTTATTAATTCTACCATTGACAGAAGCGTCAACGGACAAATTCAGAATTTTTGCTGTAGCACAGGCGTTGTCAAGTAACAATTATGAGTGTTATCATCTAGTTATTTTACTTATATAAATGCGGTTCTAAATACGAGCTAGATAGGACAGCAATAGGAGATATTGTGAGGTAATATACTAGCATATAACGGGTATAGGCTCAGCTGTGTTGGTGCGGGCAGTTGGGAGCGGTGGCCGGACACCGGGCGCCGTAAACCTGTTTCTTGACCAGCGAACATTCCTGCGCAGCTGCCGTGCAGCGCTTGTCCTCTCCCTTCACTATACGGGGCTTTGTCCTCACTCTTCGATAAACGTAGCACTCGATTCAATGGCAAAAGCTTATGAAAGATAAGTGAGAAAAACCTCCGTACAATACAATAAATTTTATAGAAAATAGGTGGGAGCTTAGGATACATTGTCTGTGATTCTTCCTCACTTAGTCCCTTCCTTATCTGTGTTTTGTCCTCACTCAGTCCCTTCCTTATCTGTGTTTTGTCCTCACTCAGTCCCTTCCTTATCTGTGTTTTGTCCTCACTCAGTCCCTTCCTTATCTGTGTTTTGTCCTCACTCAGTCCCTTCCTTATCTGTGTTTTGTCCNTCAGTGAGGCGGAGTGTGACCAATACTTCACTGAAGACACATCAGTCAGTGAGGCGGAGTGTAAACAATACTTCACTGAAGACATGTCCGTCAGTGAGGCGGAGTGTGACCAATACTTCACTGAAGACACATCTGTCAGTGAGGCGGAGTGTAATCAATACGTCACTGAAGACACATCCGTCAGTGAAGCGGAGTGTAATCGATACGCTGCTTGCAAACGTGAGAGGAATTGAGCGTTGCCGCAGCGCCAATCGCTCCCCGAGCTTCGATCTTTACCGTCTCACTTGTTGCCTCTTCTGTCGTCGCTTTGTTGAAACGTGCAGTCTATTGATCGAGCACTCCCGTGCCTGCACGCGCTGCTCCTGCTTATTGACAAATTATAACCTGGCCATAGTGTCCTGGTCCGATTTCATGATAGATGGTTTAGAAAACTGTAATAAATCATTTTTTATATGAATAATTTATGAGATTTCTCTAATGTAACCGCGATATTTTAAAGCAATATTACACCCGACATGAGCCTCTTAGGGATTACTTTGAGAATTAATGTAATGCACAGCCCTAGCGTGCAGCTTCCCATAGTAGGGCGAGCAGGCAAGCAGTTGTTAGGATATATTGATAGAGACAGCACTTGAGGTGAGTGCGTACGAGGCTATTTGTAACATGAGAGAATGGCATTCAGCTGCGCATCTCACACGCTCTCGTCAGGAGAGTGCCTGCTTCTCGTCCGTGTTGTGGACACCTCTTGGCATTCGTTTACGCGTTTTTGTTTACGTTTTTCGTTCTAAGAGACGCGCGAGGATTTTTTTCGTTTCAATAAACGCGTAGATATACGCGTTGTTTTTGTTTACGGATTTTACTTAGTCCGCTCGCTATTCGCTTTTCTTATGAACATATTTTACACGAAAATGCTCTAGTCTTTAGGTTTCATCGACTTGAATTCATTTTCAATTAGTTTTCTCAACAAATCATCCAGTATCTTAATTATTAATACATTTTCCAATTAAGTCGAATTATGCCTCGCTCATATTCCAACGACGTTATTTTGTATTCACATATTTTCCGTGTCTCCTACGTGTCCGATTGCTAGGTTGTTCCTAGACTTGCTGTGATTTATTCTAGTCTAACGTGTATGGTGTTTACTGAAGTTTTTTTAACGTCCTTACTTTACTGTTGTTTTCATCGTCGATTGTTAATTTTTGGGGTCTGCCTATCGTTTTCACACGATACCACAAGACTGTTTTCCGGAATTCAATATTCATTCAGGTAATCCAGATTCACGAGATCGTTTCACAAGTTTCCGGAATAACATGTTTTCCGATAATGTGACATGTAATGCCACATTATATTATTGATGGTCTGTAAAACACTATCACTATAAACACGCTTTAAAACACTGTCTACCCTATACTTTTCGTTGCTATTCATACCATTTTATGACTAATTTATCGTCAGAATTTCTTTCCTCATGCTCTTTTGATGTGCGTTGTACCTTGACCGTGCGTAACATGACATGAAGCAAAGAAGCGCAGCCAAGTTGCTGAAGAGGACACTAGTCTTCCTGCGTCCAGTCAGCCTCTCAAGCTAATTCTCCTCAGTGTCCAGGGCCATCCAGTGAAGACTGAAGAGCGAGCGGCCTTCTTCCTCTTATGGCGTTATTCTGTTACGCTTCTTCCTCTTATGGTGTTATTCTGTTACGCTTCTTCCTCTTACGGTGTTATTCTGTTATGCTTCTTCTTCTTATGGTGTTATTCTGTTACGCTTCTTCCTCTTATGGTGTTAAAGTGAAGACTGAAGAGCGAGCGGCCTTCTTCCTCTTATGGCGTTATTCTGTTACGCTTCTTTCTCTAATAGTGTCCTGTTTCGTGTCTAATTCATGTGGTATCCTTGTGTTACACTGCGTCTGTTTCCTGGCCTTTTTATCTTTCCTTCACAAGAGAATAATTCCACAAAATGATCATTTTAGCACTTGAAGCGCGTGCGCGGTTGAATTTCACCCGACATGCGTCAATTCACCCTGGCAATAGCTAACACATTATCACGCAATGAATTAAGCTCGTGCCGAATGAATTCAATTGTTCTTCCTCCATCCATGTGTTAATTTTCATCTTTTATGTGGCCGGTGACTGCTCCTGTGGCGTCCATGTTAATAAACGAACAATAAAAGTACTCAATTGCCGTAATTGAGCTTGTGTAATGCATTTGAGTTGGTGTGCAATCCTGATGGGCGAGCCGTAAATCGTCTCTAATTGCTACATAATCCGGACGCCGAACTGCTCTTCATTAGAGCGGGCGCCTGTGTACCGGCTTTGTTCTTCTGCCTCATGGATCAGTAAAGCTGCTTGTTCACAATGTCCAGGCTCGCTCCCTGTGCTGGCTTGCTGCCTCCTAACTTATTAACAGTCGCTGCATATGCGCTGCTAAAAATCATTGATGGATTTGTTGATGCGAGCGCCGTTATGCTTCACCAATTTGCTATGCTTTTGCTTTTTTTCATTTGAATTTATCTATGAATTTTTATCTTAATGAAATACTTGTATGACTCATTGTTTGAGGAAACGATGATTATCCGAGTATAAAGGATTCAATCGTTTGTTTGCGTGAAATTTTGCAACATTTTTAATAAACCTATGATACCTCAAGCGCGAACTCGTACTAAATTTGTTTTCATTTAAAATAAACTCAAAGAATCTATTCAATAGCTGCTCAGTGTTTCCGGTTAAGCTCTGACGCACGGCCCGTTAATAAGGCATAAACGTTGAGAAGGCTCTTGTGGCGGCAATTGTGTGGAGAGCAATATTGAGTGTTTATGATGGTGCTGGTGCCACTGAGCATTGACTCAGTTAGAAGCGCTCTCAGAGGCGTCTCTCTCTAGGTCCTAATCGGCCACTCGTCTGTAGGACCATCGTCCAGCCGGCACTCGAGTGCTGCTATCGCTATTCCTCGTGGCTACAATTGTGCAAATCTTCCTAATGAAGGCCCTGCATGAATGCGCAGAGGGCTCTTCAACCCCCCGCAGTCTCCTGCCTTATTAGCTCTTTGATGCGCTGCCATTCACCTATATAGGTCATCTCTTGTGCCAAATAACCTCGGTCGATTTCCTGACTTTGTTTGCTCTTGCCAGAATGTGTTACATGAATCGCTTCCTTTTTCCCATGAAAATTGTCATACCTCGCATGAGATTACTATGTTGTTTATTACCTGTTGATAGTGATATTTTGAGAACGCTATCTATTCATCAATACTCGGGAGATTCAGAACAAAGTTTCTGTTCATGCAACGCAGAACGCTCTCCATGTCCCGCATTTAAATCTTGGACTCAAGTGCAGGTTTGCGCGGCAAACAAGACAGTACAGATCCATGTGAGAATATGACAAGCGTTATCTGGAGTGTGTGTGGGAGGTTCTTAAGAGTCTCTTCAGGTGTCTCTCAATTGAGTGCCTGATAAGATACACGACCCTCCAGATCAGCTACACATAAGTGCTCTTATCTGCGGGACTCTTCCATGCACATTGGTCTATTTGCTGTTTTGTTCTTATTTCAATTTAAACTGCTCTTCGATATCTTACGTAATAAATGGTTTTTTATGTCAATGTTTTTACGCGGTAAAGGTAACATTCAGAATTTTTTACGGAATAATTCAGATTTTGTCTTACGGCTTCTTCTCAGCTCATTGTACATGTAATATTCTATTTAAGCATCCTAATATGATATTTATCCTTGTTGCAGCGGTGCGTGCGTGCTGCAGAAAAGGCCGGCAGCCGTATCCTGGACCCTGTACCCGAGCGTTCATCCAAGAGCAGCTCTCGTCGCAGCAACCATGCCGGCGTCAATGCCATACAAAATGGATATTTTCATTGTATATGCAGCTCATGGTACTCAATCAATTTCATACGTAACGAGGATGGGATTGTATCTTCAGAAAATGCAAGTTGATATACTATGGGAATATCGTGCCATATAACTCTAAGTCCTCTCTCTTGAAAGCAAGGCTGAATTTGTACCAGTGTGTAAAGCGTATCTGTAGCATAGATAAAGTTCCTAATTCAGGTATGTGAAGAATTTTCAGTTTAGCTTTGTGATGTGAAAAGGATGTCACAGAGTCGTATGGTATATATGATACGCTCGTTTCATGATTTTCGACGTTTAAATCCTCCGAAGCTGCATAACCATTCATCTTCTGCAATTTATTATTTTTATTCTCAGATTTCTGCCCAATTCACCTCTATATAACATCGTCGATTGTTATTTAAATATTGCTTTACGTTTGAGCTTATTTCGGTACGTTTGCATCCGCATTATTCTTTCATTGAAATCTATGCCCATATGAGGCATCCTTAACACTAGCCCCTTGTGAATCAATCTTAAAATATCGTCCCGGTCTATTATGTTTAACCAAACAACATAATAATGACATAAAATAGCCTGCTATGACATAAAAATAGCCGGCTCGACCCAGAATCTAATCGCACTACTTTCTGCTACGAAAAACTTGCGCAACTGCTGCTAATGTCGTAAATATAGTATAAGCGCTTATATTGTGACTTTTTAATCAGTTGAGCTCGAACTTGTTCTCGTTAGAAAAGTCTACGTTCTAGATGATGTTAATTAGTGAGGCATATAAATATAAACAACTAAGATATTTTTTCCTAGAATTATTCAATTACACGGATTATATAAGATTATAGGTACATCGCGCAAATTTATTATGTGCAGCTCCGTGAACGCCAATCAAACATTTTAAGGAAGCACACATGAACGTCGTCTTTTTGCAATAGTTTCTCACAGAAAGACAAGTGGGATTACCGTCGAATTTCTATTAAATACTTTCTTTCTGCGAGTGATGTCATTCATCCCGCGATGTATGACGACTTCTGGCTAATGATGTCGGCTTGGTTTAATAAAATATTATTGACCTGTTGATAAAAATCGTTTTTATTTATTCTACGATGAATATGGCTCATGGTTGGCCTTCTACTCAGCGTAAGTAAATTTCAAATCTGAGCACAAATAAGCTAACACTGGCGCCTTTTTATAGCGTTAATTGTGATTGTATTCTAGTTCACTGTGCGCGGAGGATCGATCATATCAACCATCTGTGTCATTACAGCGTCGAGCGCTATGTAATCGCGGTTAATAGGAAAAACAAGAGCAGGGTAAGCTCGTCTGTTTCATCGTTCTTTTCACCCTATGTTCGGTTCATTCCGAAACGCTTATTCTTAATTCTATCATCCGTATTTGAGGTATTCTGGTCTCGCTCTTGGCACTCACGGTGCGGACGTTGCACTCTCCTCATTGAATATCTCGAAATCCATTCGGCACTGTCACTTGTCGCACTGAACAATAAACAATTGTTCTGTTGTCCCTTGACGAGTTTGACGGCATCTTGACATGTGGTGTTGATGCGTCGAAAAGCTTATATAGAGCCCGCTGAAAGGTCGCTTCTCAGTGTCTCTTGTGAGCTCATCCAGTGCAGATGTGTGACGCTCTCCCGCGTCTATTCTTCTATGACCTCGACATTCGACGCTTACCGTGTGCCTGAAGCGCCTATGCCTCGGATTTTTTTCGGAAAAAACATTACGATTTACAATCTAATTCGTCTGTGCAATTTAGTCCTTAAAGGTGCGTTTTTTGTAACGTTATATGTATCTCATTCGTGTTACATTTCCTGTTTGTCTTTAAATTTGCTCTTCATTCAAGATTACGAGTTCTCACTGAGCAATTAGTATGTATGTTGTAGTATTAGTACTCAAGCTGCAAAAACAACCTTTTGCGGCTTTGAGTTGTGCAATCAATGAAGGTAACTGCTGATGGTAATATGAGATTTTAGTCAGAAACTAATTTATTCACTAAACTAATTTATTGCACGAACGGGTTGTTGCGCTCTCCAATGTTGCACATTTTGTCAACGTTAGCACATCCCACTATACTAACGTTTTGCTTGTTATTCAAAAGTGCTGTCAGTTCATCTGCTGTGAAATTTAAATTGTATTGTACTGCCTCTGAATTATTTATAGGTCTCACATAAATCAAGTGTATTGTAAGAAACATCTTATAATTCTTGGACCTTCCACATGTACGCGGTAAATAAGAAGTTGCGAACAAACTTACATTTATTAAGTTTAAGAAGGTTTCTACTCTTTCATTGCACACCAATACATAGTAATTGTATGGGTGTGCAATGTCAACTTGTCTCGACACTCGATTTATTTGAAATAATACCTGCGACCAATTTGACTGCTGCAATCTTATGCAGTCCTCGTTGATCCAGCTTCTTGCCCCTAGGCTAGTAAATATCTTAATATTACTTGGCATATCTCATTATGGTTGGCAATAAATCGTATGCTGCCAAGGAACTTGAGATTCTCTAGGAACTTGGCTAAGGAATTCCCTGCTGCATGACCTGCGCAGGCTACTGAGTTTACTGCCAATTTCAGGGATTTGAGCGCAATTCCAATTAGGGTAAGGATATCGCGTGACTTAGTGAGCTGTGTCGCCGTTTATGAGTGTCATTATCTCTCTTATGATGATGACACTTAGCTCGTCTCAACCCTCACTTTACTCCCTCTTTATGTGAGCTTTAGTACAGCTCTAAAACTCTCCAGCTTGATACACTCAGAAAATTTATTGGGTCGTGTTGTCCTAATTGTTATATATTCACTTCACTGATGTGTCCTTTTTCTGGGCAAAACTGGAACAGGTTGACCCACACAGGGTGCAAAAAGCGCATCGCTATTTAAACAAAATTCATTTCTCGGAATGTAACGTCCTTACCCTGTCAATGCACAACACCCTGTCTGTCTTTGGATCACTTCGAAACTTCGATTTTATCACGACTCATGAAACATTATTTACTTTACCGGTACTATTTTTAAGCACTTCACGCTAGTGTCGCATACATGTTGACAATTCGCCTTATTTGACAACGCGACTCTAAGACCTCTTGCCATCAGTGGTAAACTGATGCACACTCAGTACCCTCGTGCTAAGAATATAATAAATCAGAGAAACAAATATATTCTCTTCTTTGATTTTGCAGCTATACCAATGTGCGTTTTTGCTAAATTTGCGTGTTAAAAATATTAAAATCATGCTTAAAAATAAGTAGTCAATTAAACCAAAAAGAGCGTTCTTTTCTCTGCATTTTCAGCACTACTAATGTACTTTCTGGGCAAAAATTATGTTCTAAAAATATTAAAATTTACTCGAAAGGCACTTTTGATGATGGCATTTGCTGTCATTACGTACATGTGCAGCTCCTTATAGCTTGTGCAGCTCTTCATTGTCTGTGCAGCTCTCCATTGTCTGTGCAGCTCTTCATTGTCTGTGCAGCTCTTCATCACAAGTGTAGCTCTTCATTGTCTGTGCAGCTCTTCATCACAAGTGTAGCTCTTCATTTCACACCTCCATTGCTGCCATGTATATCAGTTAGCTTGTTGTTTGAAGGCAACGAAATTTTCAGCAGACCCTGACGTGTGTGCCTGAGGATGATCCCCTTTTACGAGGGTTCGAGAGAGTGGACGTCGAGTGTGGGGGGAGTGTCTCCGAGAGGGATACGGCCGCGTGCGTTTGAGTGGTCCATAACAGGACTTCTCGCCACTCTTTTGATGGCCAATAAAGTGCTCGATAGCCTGAGAATTGGGAGTGTTCTGAACACTACACACACTCACGCGAGCCAATAATATATCAGGCTTCTTATTCCTAATCTGTTTCACGTCGATAATTGAGTTCTATCACGATTTTACTTCAATTCTAATGCTAAGATCAGCTTTGAGGAGGATTGAAGTTTTCAATGACGGGTATTTTTTAGTTCGTTTCTCTCCGCGACCAATTGTTTTACCCAATAATTTTCACTTTGGTATTGGTTTGTCATTGATGTTTAATGTCGTTGTTGCACTTATGTTAAACATGTGAACATCTGTTGTGATGACCATTGTGATGACCATAGCTATGCTCGCTATCATGTCATATACGAGGTCATATATAGCGTGATGGGCTTGACCGGCCGGTATAAGTAGCCTGCGCAAGCACTAATGAAACTTTCTATGAGTGTCATTCGTTGGTCAATGATCGCACGCTGCCGCTTATAGGTCATCTGCTGGCTTTGCTCTGCTGATGACTCTTAAAAAAGGCAGTAAAACTTGGCGACAGCACCGCTACAGCTGACAGGAAGCCATAAACTGCACAAGGTGATCTCGTAAAAGCCACGCAGCCTATTCCTGTGCTCACGCTGTCTGGCTACTACTGAGCCAATGTAATGACGTAATCATTTGCTTGCATGACACGTCCTCTTATCTGGCTGTCACAAACACTCGAATTTGCGCGTTAAATCTTAGGGATTCAGTGTAAAATAATATTCAAGTGTAATACATTTAGATGGTTACCCTCATTTTAATCTGCGTTTTCTTGATATTCGACTTTGAAAAGCTTTAAATTATAATTTTAAGCTAGTAAGAATAGTCAAGCATTATCAATACCCGATCCCTTAGTCTTTTTGTGAATTTTCAATATTACCACAAGAGTATTATTTATTTGTTCTTTGTATAATTCGTTAAAAATCCTCAAATTTCAACGGTTGTTGTTTGTTTCAGGGTGGTGGGAGTCACTCCAGTTCGGAACAAGGCTACATTGTAAGTATATTATTATAATAATACTATGACATTGACACATTTATCTTATTTATTCCGTGTTCATAGAGTATGCTTCTCTGCAAGAATCAATAAACTCAGATGTCTGTATTGCGCAGTTATTTTCATGATGAATCCAAATGTCATCGTAGTTTCGAGTTTTCTCCTATCGGTTTTCTCTTCCCTGGCACAGTTACATTAAACACCGAGTGTCATAGCTAATGCTATGTGCAATGGTCATTGATTTAGTTAATTTCAAATAGACCGTGGCGATTGCTCCCATGCATGTTGAATGATTAGACGCTCGACGATGTCGTGGACATCTTGGCCTGTCGTGCACGGCATGTTCGGTTGCCTGCAGTCGCAAGCAATTTATGCAGTGTTTTAGCGTGCAGGAAACACCTCGTCAATGAAAACGAACCAGGCTTTTAGCTGAGCAAACGAGTTAGTGGATCTTGTGTTGAGGTTAGCGCTTTGACCAGAGGCTGCGCATCCTGATTGCATGATGTTCTCTCAACGCTCGTAACGACCTGTTAGCTTTCATCGTAATGACCGCCTTATGGGCCATTACTTGACTCGAGATTATAGAAGGCGGCTGTTTAGCTGGCGCTAGTGTCGTCGTTTATCTTTACTGATACACGCTAATATTACCTCATGTTCACTTAGCCTCAAAATTAAAGAATAAGCTAGAGTGAAATCTTGACTCTCAAGAATGATGTTTGTTGACTATGCTCATAATGCGAACGCTCTCAGCAGCCTCGTGAAGTAGGCAAGTTTGTGTGCTAGCCACAACGGCGAAACTTTAAATTGGTTCGTTTTACGACCACTTCTTGTCATGAAGCCGGTTACTATTAAGCTTGCTAAAGAGTGGTGTCAGTTAAACTACGGTCTGTCATTACCTTAACTATACACGCTCCGCTTCGAGCCTTACAACCACAAGGGCCGCTAAATGCCGCCTCGACCATCACGTTTCCTTCCTTAGCAACCACACTTCGCTTTTTCTCGTCCTAAAGCTAACCATTTATGTTCTGTCAGGTCAAAAGCTGCGCATCCTTTACTTCTTTTATCTAAAATCTTTTTTGACGAATACGCAGAAAGGCTTGTATTTTTTCTTATGGTTCAGCTGTGATAGTTCAGATAAATATATTAATTTGGATTTAATGCCTTGATAACCTCGAGGATTTAATCCGCGGTCTTTTTGTACGAGATGCAGATTTGTAATTAAAACGGATTCAGCATAATATTAACTAGTTAATAATTTGTAAGTTAGTTAGCTTTTCCAAGTTAAATCTCGATTATACTTAGTTACTTTGCCATGTCCTATTTGCTCTCTTCAGTTAGTCTTTCGCACTTCTACATAATAAATGTGTTCTTTATTACACGTATAACCTTTAATATTATATTTATACTCTCACATCAAATTGTTTTACACGCAAAATGTCATAATTCTTTCGAATAAACTGAACTGATGGCTATTAAGATTGATGCTTTTCTGTGAATCATCCATTGCATGCATGGACGCCCATAGTTCAGCGCGAGAACTTGTCGGAGACGCGTTTTGAATGTTCCGCGTTCTACTGCCGAATAGTTGTAGCCTGATAATCGCCACCCATGCTGTCCAACATGACACCTTGGACTCCATTTTTGCGCCAATTTATAGTCTTGCTTCCCTTGTCTTCATTTTGCACAACACGCGCTCGTGGGATGTAGACATGGGTCCTGAAGCGACCTCCACCCTCTCATTCAGTCGTTTGAAGCTCACTTGTTGGGGCTCGAGTGCGGTAATGGTCCTGCTGGACTGTTGGTTCATTCTATTGTGCTTCAACTACTCAAATATCTGTACCTCGTTCATTAAACGCTAAGCGCTACAATAAGAGACTATTATACTACACGTTTTTTTTCGCCTTAGAGAATTGTGGTCATTCCTCTTTTGCAGTTTTGCTCTCGTAGCGTTGATGCCTGCTAGCTTGAATATGATGATGTCTTGAATTATCACGAACTTGAACTGCATGGTACTATCCAACAGGAAGACATCTTCATAAATCGTTGCATCATTGTCACTATACACAATGGGCCATCTTGTTCCGTAACCCACGAAATCTTGGCTCGTGAATACAGAATAAGTTGCTTGCCGACAAATACATTGAGAGCAGCTGCATGTATGCTCACGCGGCGCGAGACGTAAACGAAGTGTGGTCCCTGTCGTTAGGAACCCGCCTCCCATTGCGACCCTCGTCGCATTAGAGCGGATGATTCGCTTAGTTACAGATTTGATTAGAGCTGCGCCCCTCACACTCAACCCTCTGTTCCATTTGTTGGTCTGCCGCCTCTCTGAGCCCAAAGCTTGCTCGCTTAAATAATAGCCTATATCTGCCGCCTCATAGAAACAAATGCTTATGTTGGGTTGGTGGTGTGCTGTAAATGTTCTTCTGGGAATTTATGCGAGGAAACTATGAAATTAAATGTATGCGGGATTAGTTTTTTGAATGAGCGTAATTTTATCTCTAAATATATAAAAAAGATTAATTAAGCGTCTCCATGATACATGAAGGTGAAGTTTATAAATAAAACAATAAACGATGATAATCGGAGCAGCAGCGGCTGGCTAGGTACCATGTTCTTAAAGCTTACGTGAGCTTTGAATGGAACTGAGGGCAGTTGAGAACCAACGTCTTATGGTAATAGCATGGGCTACCATTGACAGCAGCTGCTTTAAACCAACATTGTGGGGTGAGAGGCCGTGTGCTCTAGCCGTTGTGCATGGTCCTGAACGTTGTGTCTCTTCTCGTAAATAAATTTTAATGGCGGCGAATGGACTTGGGAAATTGCCGCTTGTGAGCCTCGCTATGTATTCTATAATAATGCGTGAATGTTTGAGACAGGGTTCATTTATATTATAGCTTATACACCTTTTATTTGCTATTTTCAAAATGAAACAGGGTAGATTAATGAAAGCTGTCATTGGAAACCACATTTTCTGTCCGCATTACCGCAAAAAAGTTGTGTTAGACAGTCTTATTACAACCATTTACCGTATGCTTCATCTTGTAATTCCTGCTGTTCACTTATTGTACATCGAGAAGGAACATTAACTGTTAACTAACGCTTCAAGTTTTCAACAGTCTCTCGTGATAATAACATGCGTTATTATCATCTTTGCTCCGGTCTCTGCACGACCATTCGGCGTCTGGTGTATAGCCATCACCAAATGATTAGGTCTGTGACTGGCCTACAGCTGTCACCAAGAATATGTAATCGTGTAATTAGCGCAAAGGTCTTGATTTGTGCGCGTGTGTATATGTGTGTGCGGCGATCGTTCTCGCGTGAGCTTGCCACCACGAAGCGTGTCATGATCTGTCACAGCGAGCCTTGATAGCGCCACCCTGCTCTCTAATTTGATCTTGGCGCACACGCAACGCTATGCTGCTCCGTCTGTCCTGTGATAGCCGTGCACACTGCAGACTTATTACACTTTTGTTTCTTCGCCGATCATTGGAGTTATTTAGTATTGTATATCGGAATGTTTTTCATGAGACAGTGTGAAGAAGTTTAAAAAATCATGTGGTTTCTTTCACTCAGGTCATCAATCATTGATTTTCTTAATATTTCTAGGATGGGAATTCTAGTGTTACCATTGGTTTTATTATGCGTTATCGTTTCGCCATTAAAAATAGTGTAAATTCATTATTAATTATGGAAAATTTGCAGCCTATGATTAATGTTTTATGTTTTTTACCTTGCAGTGTGACAGCGAGAGTGAGGGCGGCAAGGTGAGTACTATAGTGAATTATTTGCTGTCGTTATAACTATACGTGCCATTAAATTATGCAAACTAACTTGAGTGATATTATGTGTTCATTTCACCGGTAAATAGTATATTCATTTAGTTAATATATTGTGAGTGTTATTTTTATAATATACCCATTTAATGAAAATATTTACAACATATTTACTGTTGATTAACACTTCTGTGCGTGGTTCATGTTAGCAATCTCAATATCGCATACATCGGAGAAAAAAATTGGAATATTATTTAATTATGTTTTATATGATTAAGTTTATATTGCCATCAGTAAAATAATGCGTACGAGTGAAAATATTGCGTTCTTCAGTAATGAATAATGCTAGAGAATTTTCTGATGGATATCGCTCTTCCCAGGTGTCCGATGCTGAATCTGATCTCTTCCGCGCAACGAGTAAAGGTGAGCCTACATTTTAAGACTTTATTTTCATCAATGAATGAGCTAGAGCGCGAGTTCATTCGGGTCATTTTTATCACGATAGAATATGAATGAAATTTTTAACAATTTCAGGAGAGCAATGTTCCTTAGAAAATCGCGCAGGGTCTACGTCCCAATTAAATATTTTTAGTTTCTACGTTCGTTACCGTGATATTTAACTGTCAGCGCAGGAGCGACACCGATTATTCTTTTAATTAATTTGTTGTACATATCTAATTATTTGGTTATTATATGCAAGTACATTTTTCGGGCTAGGATGAATATATACTCTTCCCACACTTTTACAATTCTTAATCCAAATATACAATTCACATTAGCACTTTTTCTATTAGGGTCCGTGACGATGTTTTCAAGCAAATAATCACATATAATTGCTATTATTTTTAAATTTGTCTTTTTTTGTACGTACTTACTAAAAACTTCGGCTAAGCTTACAGTGATCTGCCAGCATCTCACTGCTCTGATAACTCTTGTTAGGATTCTTCCGCTAAAAAGATATTAGCTTTTCAAATGCGGCCTTTAATGTATATTGTAATACCAGTGTTTTTCTTGATTACTACGTAAAATAACGCTATCCCAATAAGATTCAACATGTTATACGTTGCCTTGAAAAATACAATCTTTTCCTTGCAACGTCGTTTTTGAGGACTTTTTAGTTTCATGTAGCCTTAAAAATTCCCTTTATAATTTAAAAATTTTTATGTAATCGTCTAGTTTGTATTTGGCTTCGAAGAACATGTACAAAACGTCTCTAATTATTGTTTATGTCTCTATCATACACAAGACGTAGATATTTGCTATGTATCCAAAAATGCGCGATTCAAATTGCTACTCCATTCACATGTGCGATCTTACTAAATTGCTGTTTTTAACGTTCTTTTAGTTGGTCTTTACATGCTTATAGTTACTCTTGCCACAAGGTAGAAGTTAAAACGAGTAATTTCGTTCATGTTATCAGAAACATATTAGATGAGACCACCTGTGCATTAATTACATGAGGGTAATTATGTGCTCAGGTGGCAGCGTCGGTGCGAGTGGAGCTGACGAGAGCAGCAATAGCACAACTGCGTCGAGCGCATCTGTGGGCGCTGGTACAGGCGGGGGTGTAAGCCTCGTACCTCCTGCAGCTCTTGGCTTAGGTCTTGCCAGGGCACAACAACCAACACCAGTGTCTCCTCCACTGCCTCTCGTGCCTGTAGCTGCTGCTGCTGTAGCGCCTCTTGACGCTGTCACCGCCGCTCCTGCCAGTAACGGACTGTCGCCTCAAGGCACATCTGTTCCTACCGCTGCAGTTCCTCCTCTTGTTGTAGCTGCGGGTGTACCGACCGCTCCACATTCAGCATCTGCTGCGCCTACTGCGGCGTTGGCGCCTCCCCATCATTACTTGTGAGACTAAGCTTACGTTGCTGCTGTGCTTGCGCATGAAAATTGCTACTAAATGTATCTCCAATTCAATTTACTAGAATAATTCTTCATTGTCTATTATTATTCTGCCTGTAATTTATCTCAAGCTAATGGACATGATATTCGTATCAATTACAGATTTTTCTATTGCTGTAGTTCATCCATGATCATCGTTTACAGAAATGCTCCTGCCTATGGAAGCCGACCTTCCTTCCCACCGACGGCTGCCCCGAGCCACGCAACGTCTCCCGTGGACGTCAAACCTCCGCTGGACATCAAGCCTCCAGTGGACGTGAAACCTCCCCTCGATATCAAGCCGGACCTTAAGCCAGCCTTGCAACAAGATATTAAGCCTAATTTAGCTGACCTGAAACCTGCGTCTTATCCTGTGATACCAGCGCAGGCTAAGCCAACCCTCGCGTCTCATCCTACAGCGCCCGCACCTCACCTCACTCCTGCTCCACACTCTGCTTATCAATCGGTGCCTCCATTACATCATCCTGCGTATCCTCCGCTCTCTACCTCATCTCATCCAGCACCTGCTCCACCTTCTCTTCCTCCTCCCCAACACCCAGGGGCTGGTGCACCACCCCCATCATATCCATACTACCCCCCACACACCAGTGGCACCTACAGCCCCACTGGTATTGCCCAGAGCAGCTCCCCCGGTGCTCTGGTGTCGTGTACTGCTGGGGCCTTAACATCATCTTCGAGTGCCAGGTACAGCAACGGGCCTTGTGCCACCACGACCACCGGCAGCCTCAGCAAGTACAGTGTCGTGTCCCTGGTGTCTAATGGCTCCAGTGGTGGCAGCAGCAGTACAAGTACCCCAGTGAGTAGCGCTCCTTCAGTAACTCCATCAACGGGCGTCGTCAAAAATAATCACTCGAGTCACCATTCTTCACATTCATCGCAAGGAAGGTCTCCTCATCCTTCACCACGTTTACATTCACCTCATCACTCATCTGCTCCTTACCCACCTCCTTCCCAAACGTCCAACATATCGCAGCCTCACCATCTTTATCCGCCTCACTACCCTCCTGGGTATCCTACGCATCCCGCCACCACTCGGTCCTCGCCTCACTCATCCCCATACTCTCCTGCGTACAACGCCGGTCATCCTTACTATCCTCACCTCCAGCCACCCTCTAACCCTGGCCAACCCGTGCCTCATTACCCTTCACCAGACTCCATAAAAACAGAGCCCGGCGAACCTCAAAAGTCATCTTCTTCCTCAAAGCTTCATCATCCATCATCTGCTGGGTATCCTCCCTCATCGCTGTCTCATATCTCTCCTCAACATCACCATCATCCCCACTCATCTTCTCCCTCTGTACCACCTCACTCGCATCACAAGCACTCGTCCCAACACAGCACTACAAAAATCAAAACAGAACCTGGACAGTCAAGCGCATCTCATTTGCCTCCACCTAGAGGGACTCCCCCCACAACTCCGCGTGGTCGCTCCAATACTCCCACTTCACACCCATCCTCGACTGCCTCCTCCTCATCTCATCCTCATTTTCCTCCACATCCAAGTGGAAGCATCCAACATCCCCAGCATCACTCGGTCCCATCGCGTCATTCGCCCCGACACCTCGAGCAGCAGCAGCCGCCAACTGCTCCGTCCTCGCATTATGGGTGCGTTCCTCAATATTTGTAATCTCGTTGTTCTCAACTTATATCTAAGAATAAATGAACTTATATCTTGACCTTCGAATTCTGTTTGATTTATTGTGCGAACATCAGGCACTGATCATAATTGTGAAATTAGTGATTTATTGTGCGAACATCAGGCACTGATCATAATTGTGAAATTAGTTGTCAAACTTGTATATTGGTGGATTTGATCATTCATTTGAGATTAACTGTGTGAGTTCCTGTCGCTTTTTATTTCATACCTACTGATTACCTGATTGATTATCAACTTCTTTACCTCATGTGCAGATTTCACCCTACGTCTGTACAATCCCCTATCACGTCTCTCAGCAAACCATGGGCCAGGTCCGTATCCTTTTCTGTAAGGCCTCTTTTTAATCAATTCTGGATTGTAGTTTTCTGCCATGATTTAGTATAAAACAGTGATTGGTTTAAACGCGCAACTGATATCGATGTTGAATTTGACAGATTTGCCCTGGAGCGGATTTTAGAATAAAATTACAGATACATGCTTTAAAAACTCACCGTAACTGTTTCAATAAGCCTCTTGTTTACACTCACCATAACTGCTTCAATAATCCTCTGGTTCACACTCACTATAACAATTATGTAAAGAAACGTACCCACATTCCTTGTAATCCTTTCAAAAAGCTAGTACCCAGATCAGTCACCATAGTAACGAGTGATGTAACTTGCAGCCCCGTGTCGAGCCTGGCGAGCAGCAGTGCGGCGCGACTGTCCAGTCTGAGCCGAGGACCGGCTCCCCCCTTGGGCCTGCCTCCCCCATCCTTCCCCCTCGCCCCTCCTCCGGTCTCTGCGCCGCTCCCCCCTTCGGGGATGTTCGCTCCCTCTTCCCTCACCACCAGTTCGCTCTTGCCCTCACATCTCGCTGCTGCGTCAGATCCTCTTGGTAAGTCTCTTGTTCATAACATAATTATTATCTCTTCAAATTTTGATGCGTGCGTTAATACAGTGGCATCATGAACTAAATATCAATAAATGAAAAAAATAAAGCATAATAATAATTAATAATATTTCTAATTAAATATGGTTTGCAGTTCAATCAGATCTGCTGCGGCGTGAGCTAGATTCGCGCTTCCTGGCGACGCAGGACCGTTCACTGAGCGGCCTGGGGGCGGGCGCCCTGAGCAGCGTCGGCGGGCTGCCCGCGCTCCTGCGCACCGACGTGCACCATCACCAGCACCAACACACGCATGTGCATCAACACCTGCTGCCACACATGGGCCCTCATCCACCTCCTCCCAGCGCTTTAGTTCCTCCAACGGCTCCACTACCGCCGCTGCCAACACCTGCTGCTGCTGCGGCAGCTGCAGCAGCCGCCGCAGCAGCTGCCGCGGCCGCTGCTGCTCCAGCTGGTCTCTTCTCGTCTCCAGCTGCTCCGCCTACTCCATCTCTGGTGAGAGTTTATTGTCATCAATTCTCTTGCGGTGCAAGAGAATTTAATTCCTTGTATCACAAATTAACCAAGATTGTGAATGCAAAGAAAATTTTAACAAAGCTTGCACGTTTTAGAACATTTTAAATGAAAGGACAGTGATTGATCTTGACATTTCCGATCGTTTAATTTTCTCTTCTCTTATTCTCAATTCTTAGCAATTTACATCACATCGCATCACTCATTAGAAACTTATCTGATTGCATAAAAAATTCGAAATTTTCAACAATTAATGGCTTATTACAACTCACAAAAAAATTGTCTTCAATGTCTAAACTTCTTCAATCTACTTTGCGACTTAACCATCCCGGATCTTTAGAAAATCTGATGATAACGTTGTGTTGTGGCACAATTTCCTCTTTTTCCGTCAACTTGCGTGTTGCTCAGTTCAAGGAAGTGAGCAAGGTGGGGCTGGGTCTGGAGAACAGCCTCTACCGCAGCGCGTCCAGCCTGGGCGCCACTTACCCCCCCGCGCTGTCGTCTCACATCGTAGCGAGCGCCTCGACGCCTTTCGCTCCCCCGTCTCATCCCGCACCTTTGGCTCCAAAGGTGAGTGGTCATATCGTTTGGCATTCTCTCCATTGTGATTCATTAGTTTTATTTCTTTTACTGTTATTGCAGGGAATACGGTATATTTTTTACATATATACGAGTCTGATTCACTTTCCGCTTTCGGTTTCATGCTGTGTACTGCTTCGCAATATTACAGTCCCAGGCTTATTTTCAGAATGTATTTATCATTTTGTCCGTCTTATGAACGTCATATTAGTGTTTTTGGCACAAATTTATCTATCTTATACCAACGGAAGAAGTCCCCTCTTCAAACGAGTTAACTCATACCGTGCTCACATGTCGCTGCACTCACCAGAATCGTACGCTTTCCTCACTTTCATAGCATTGCTTTGTGATACACTCGTACGGTATTTGGTGCCGTTTACGAGTTACAGAAAGAATTTTGCTCGCGTCGATGTTTTTTGTTCACAGATTGGAGAGAGAACTCAGCGTAAAGCTGTGGTACGTGTGATCGTGTGACAGTAATTTACCTGCTTGCCTCGTTAAATGAATGGCTCGGTTCAAGCTGTCTGAACTAAAGATTAAGTTTCTAATTTAGAACATTATAGGATTTTTTTCTGGTCAAATCACCGTTTAAGTAATAATTTGGAGTATTTTCTCTTTGAAGTCGGTATTTGTTGTTTGTTGCGTTTTAATGGCAAACTGTTTTCAGATTTGGTTCAAGTTATGAATGACCCACTTGGGTGGTTTTTCAATTATTTACTGAATTTATCTAGCCGATCCTCAAACTCTTATAGAAAAATAATCTTCAAATCCTTGATATCAGACAACGCTTCAAATACACTCCTCCGTCAGCACATAAATATTTCCATCGATCAAATTTTTGAGTTGAATCTCGTGAAAGTATTATATATTTTCTTTATCGATGCATTTACCGTTGTAATTGATTCGTTTTTTGTACCCATCTTCCCATTTTCATCTTCTCATTTTCACGTCATTAACTGGATATTATTCACCTTTAAGCAAATCCAACAATATTGATGCTGCTGCCGATGTTAAGACAAATACCGGTGAAATCTTTTGTTTGACACCAAAATATCATATGTTACTTACCTATTCAGCATTCACCAACCAAATTTTAAACTTTTTCTTACAGAAGACTGGTCGGTGGAACGCCATGCACGTACGGGTGGCCTGGGAAATATATTACCACCAGCAAAAGCAAGCTGCGGAGAAGGCTGGAGCAGGAAGCAAACTTGCTCCCAATCCCACCGAGCTACTGCATCCACCTCGTGGCCTACCTCACGCATCCTCACCTTCAATGTTCACTGCCTTGAGACCTCCGAATCTTCCTCCGCCTCCGCCCCATTCCATAATAGGAGGACCTTCACAGCGATTTGAACCCACATCTATGCTGAGTCACGCGTCTCATCTGACACCATCGATCCCTGGCTTGGGAGGCTTGAGATATCCAACCGCTGGTCAGCCCCACGCCCCTGGAGCCTCGCATCTCACGGCTTCCTTCCACCATCCCGGCATGTCGCCGGCCATCTCCGGCCCTCCTCCAGGCTCCATGTTCTCCAGAGAAGGATTGAGTTACCCCACTCCTTCACCGGCTACCGATTGGAGGTTAGACTGCAGATCATTTAGTTTCCAATTTCTGGTTTAATACATTTGCGAATTTTTGTTATCCTTTAATTCAGATAAAAATAAAAATTTCTCATTATTTTACCACTTTCTTTACCAGATCTTGAGCTGTTGTGATCTTTTAATATTTTCTTGATGCTTGTGCAATGTGGATCAAATTAATTAACATTATACGATCCGAGGAAATGTCGTCATATTTCTGTGTCGCGCACGTATCAGAGCTTCCTATTGTTCGCTGGCAAACAATAACAACTAATTAATTTTCGACAGATTACGAGTGCCCGTTTCTTACGGTGGCGGCACTCCTTGGAGTCTCTACGAGCGACGTGAGGCCGAAGAGCGCGAAGAGAGAGAGCGCAGGGATCGCGAAAAGAAGCATCGAGAAGAGCACGACAGGAAAGAGAGGGAAAGAGCCGAAGAAAGAGAAAGGAAAGCACGGGAAAAGGACAGAGAAGAACGTGAACGAAAAGAAAGAGAAATGGAGCGCGAAAGAAGAGAAAGAGAATTGGATCGGGAGCGTGAGAGAAGAGCGGAACACGAACGAGAAAAAGCCGCTCGTGCCACTGAGGCTGCGACTGTCGTAGCTGCTGCCCCAGCTTTCATGCCACCTCGGCGAGAAGCATCTCGATCGCCTCTACGAGCCCCAGAGCAGCCTCTGGAAAACAATAAATCGACAGTGGCTACGACACTTCCTTCAACAACTCCTTCTTCTTCAGCTGCTCCGTCTGATTCTGTATCACCACCTGTGTCGGCCCTTGCCACTTCTACTTCCTGTTGTAGCACGACAGCTCATACTACAACTCCCAGCCCAGCTGTCGTTGCCCCCCAACCTGGACCTGGACCTCCCTCATCTTCTGTTTCAACTTCCACTATCCCTTCTGTGCCCACAGTTTCTTCACTTGCCTCGGGAACTCCAGTTAGCGGTACGTCGTCCTCTATCGTGTCTAGTAACAACAGCAATAGCAGTATGAACAGTGTTAGCAGTAACAGCAGTACATGCCAGAACGTTGTGACTACCTCACCGTGCTCTACGGCTGTCACCACCACGTTTTCTTCTTCCATTAAACCTTCTCCGACTGTCTCTCAGTCTTCTCATCATTCGAAATCAGATCACCGACCAGACTCGAGGCCTGCGTCACGGCCGAGCTCTGGTCCTAATAGTCGTCCTAATTCCAGGCCGAGTTCTCGGCCAGCTGATAGTCATCGTTCTAGGACGGACTCAAGGGATGATATTATGATAGTAGGTAGCAAAGAAGCTCCTCCTCGACTACCTCCTCCGGTCAGTATGTCGTCGCACTCTCTGGCGCCATTACCAATGCATCATCCTAGCGGTCAGTTATTACCTCCCCACACCATGTCCTCTGTCAGCCCTCTGGATAGAGCGCGATTAATGGGGAATGGCTACCATCCTGGCCCTTCAATGTGGAACGATCCCTTCAGAAGTGTGGACCCTTACAGAGCGGCAGCTGCTGCTGCACAAGCTAATTCTGATGCTCTAGCTGCTGCTCGCTATGAGCTGCTCAGCAGGGAACATATGAGAGACCCGCTTAGAGATAGTCTTGATCGGGCCAGAGAAGAACATCTTCTCCGCTCTAATCCTTTGGGATCCTTAATCCTCTCAGAACGTTACCGAGAACACCAGGCTCGTGAGATGTTCGAGAGAGAAAGACAATACGCTGCTGCTGGGTTCTATCCTCCATCGTCTTCTTCATTACTCCCTCCTCATCCTTCACAACATTTGCTGGGTTCACAATTCAAAACATCTTTGGGTCACCCCGGCCATCCAGGCCATCCTAGTCTGCACCCACACCCAGGGTTGAGTGGCTTGCATCCCTCAGTCACCCTTCATCTAGGCCATCATCACATGGCCCCGGGGATGCCTCCACCCCTCATATCCACTCGACCGCCCGATAAAAAAGACGAGCCCCGATGAAGCGAGCGCTCGCCCGGGCTTCCTAACGTAAATAGTCTTTCATCGTCGCTTGAGATCGAGTAATTTCGAGCGTATTTTATTCATGGCCAACCAATATTTATTACGCTATGCGGACTGTAATATTTGTATATAAAGTACATACTTTATAATTTATTATAAAAGGTAAATCTGCGACTGATCTGACGGATGTGCTTGTTACGAATTATTAATACAAATGTTTGTTACTTGTTGACTTTTAATCCTTCTTTAGATTAGTTTCAATCTTCTACTAAGCATGAAAAATTTCTAGTTTTTAATGATCACCTCACACTCGATTGCGTTATGTGTATCAGAAATCTATTAATTAAAGTGATTTAGTTTAAAGGACTTCATGGCCCTGTTGATGATGACGTAAAACATGTTGAGTTGGATTGTATACCGCTGCCGTTGTTACGAACTAACGACTGTTAAAGTAACACGTATCGAACAGCCTAATTTCATTCACGGAAAGTAATCCTCTAACCTCTGCTCGTCTCGCAGTCTAATTTTTTTTTCCTCGGGCTCTAGTGGACAAATGTTTCCTCGGAACAAGTAAATTTTTTCAGACGTTTTTAGGCTTAAAAGCAAAGGTTTTCCTAGAAGAAACTTTTATTTAGCGAACTACTTCTCGGATCCAGTTTGTTCGAGAATCAAGTCAAGCAAGTTGACAATCGGTCCGGAAATAAGGTCAAACAGCTTAGTCGACTATCTGTACATGTTCGTCGTAACAGAAGAATACACGAATTAACAAACTGTAAAATAAACAAACAAAGCCTTTAGCTTCCAGCTGTTGAAAGTTGATTAATATGGCTGCCATATATTTCAATAATAGACAACATTAACAAATAATGAAGCCATAAACCACACATCTCAAAAACAGGTAAGTAGCGAAATTATAGTCAAGGTGTTGCCGCTAGTAATAATTATTCAACTTATTCTATGGAAACAAATACGTTAGTTTCAAATTCATGTAAACAATCAACCAACAAAGATATTGATCAATTTTTAATCTATATCGCACTGTTTCACAAAAGCCTATACTGAAGTTATAGCAACCTCTCAAACCCACCTTAAAATCTTTCGCGACTATAAGCGGTAAATAATTTTGAGAGGCAAATAAGAGGCCACATATATAGGGAAATTATGAAAGTGGAAGTAAAGGCAGACTCCAAAGCAATAATAAATATAGCTGGAAGAAGAACTCGGTTCTTCTTATAAAGGTAGGAATATATATTGGGGAATTCAATTGAAGTTCATGAGCCTGCGGACATGGCGGTTATACCACAGTAAAGGGCAATGCCCAGAATTAAGTCGGTGCCTTCCTCCTAAGTAAAGTGTGAGCGAACGTGAATTTAAACTTAAATAAACAAAACATAATATTTTTCTCCATGCCTATCAATAAGTATGGATAAAAAGAACTCCAAAATTTTACTACATGAGAAATAATGAAATTTCTAACAACGTTCATCGTAAAAAATTGCTCACCGAATTTAACCTGCAAAATTGGACGTCTGTCGAACAAAAAAAAAAAAAAAACGAGTGAAATATTTATTTAACTTATTAGCGTATTGAAAGTATTGAATGAGATGAAAGTCATTGTGAGTCTTGAATTTCAAAAGCCATTCATTAAAAATTACTTCCTTCTCCCACGTGAGTTATTTACTGTGCGGATAACCACGCCTATTTTCGCTATGAATTTCGTACACAAATGTCAGAAGGAGATAGCGTTAATTCAGCAAGGTTCAAAGTAAATATTCCATGTTTTAATGCCAAATGAAATTTATTGAATGATCGAATTAGTAGTATTAATTTTTACAGAATAAGCGTTCATGGCACCATACGAAGCGATTTTCTATTTTCTACCATCGGTTTTTCTTTACTTAATCTCCGGCTGATTCAAACCATGACATCGCCTGAAGTCGGAAATTGTAAAGCGCCTTACATGCTCATTACAATATTACATGGTATGTGACTGCAGCAGTGGCAGCTGCTGGTGGACGATGTCGAACGGAATTCCCAGTCGAGAGAACCGTGATCGAAGGGTGAATTTGAAAATACATTGTCTTGTATTTCCAATATCGTGTAGAGGTCAAGAATATATTCGCCACAATCCTGCTCAGCGCCTTCTTCGGGTTTGTTTTGAACGCATTGAATTCTACTCATCCGTAATTGCAGTTGCTATAATCGTTTTGCAAAGTTTAGTAAAATATACAACGTTGCACCGATTCGTGCAACTTGAATTTCCGGAAGTGCATCGCGTGACTTACGACCGAGCCGCAACCGGGTTTTCCGACCACGCGTAAACTCCAGTGCTGCTGTTGATTGATTGAAGGTAAGTAACTACGAAATATTTTCATACGTTTGTCCGCGGAATCATACCAAAAGATTGAAATTTAGCCATTTTTTGTTTGACAAATTATCAGCAGAATAATGTTTTAGAATAATGTTTTAGAATTCGACACGTAAATTACATCATTAACCATTCATTTAGGGACATATTACCGTCTTTGCCATTCGGTCCAAACGACTGACAAATATCATTTACAGTCTAGAACGCAAAAATCGTTTAGCAGCCGCATCAGTGCATAATACAAACATAGTTCAAAGTCATTTTGATCACTTACTGGGTCCTGTAAATTTTTTACAGCGAAATTTTATTCTATTTTCCAGAGGTAATTTAGATGCCTCCATTTTCAAGCAAAAACAAATGAATAATGTGCAAAAAATTGTCATAAAGTTGAATTCTGGAGTGTTATAAAGTTAAATGAAATATCAAGAAAACAGACACAATTTTTTCTTACCTTTCAGTCGGGTCTCTCATATATCACAGAATAGTCATTCATTGTTCAAGCAGTGGACGAACAGAATTACTTTGCCCAGGAGATTCACAATTAATAATATTCCCCTCCTATACTAATTGTTATCACAGTTCAGAAAATCCAAGCCGCGTGAAGCCCCGCGCTTAAATATGGGTCTGATGGCGTTACAGCCCATCTAAATTGCAGAATTCCCGATCATATTTGCCAAGGTATAAATACGCAGCAGCCATCGGAGCTTTCCAGCATTTGTTGTACTTCCGCTGCCACGAGCATTTTCGTTCTAGCTTGTGACGAGTCGGTCTGGATTGACGCAGATAAAAAGCTAACTTAGAAAACACGAGTCTGAAATAACATTGGCTTGAACCGACTAATAATCATGTCTGGATTAAGACAAGCAAGAATGTTGAGGTACGTTGTTAAAAAGAGTTACTCTATTTCGTGGATTCAGTTAAAATTTCTCTTGTGGGTAACCAGATTGATTCTCATATAACACGAGTGAAGTAATCTAAATTGATATTAATTGAGAGCTATACGTGCTAAAAATCATATTCGGTGGAAAGTAAACATACAATTTTAATGTTAATTGGAACATGTTTCGTTTTCTAGGGTTACGTCAACAGCGTTCCTCGTCACTGTTTTGGTTCTGTCGACAGTGAGCGCGCAAGACACACTCAGCAGCAGTGAGCAACCACCACAGCAAGAAGGAGATCCAGCAAACGTAAGTAGTGCGGAAATCATTAAAAAATTTTATGCTATTTTCGAATGAAAACTTTCCAGATTGGTCAGAGATGGATAAGTGAGGTAGGGGCTTCGGATTGGAATCAATAGTGGTTCAAACAACGAATCAAACTAAAAATATTTGTATTTTGCAGAGGATATTCGGATGGCCGCTGCCTGGCATCACTGCATCTGTGAATTTTGGAACAACTGTTACAAGAACAGTACAAGTCCCTTTGTACATAGTACGTACCAGTACCGTGTGGGGGGGAGGATCTACTGTGTACTCGTATCTGCCTGCAAGTACGGTGTATATTCCTGCAAGTACAGTGTACCAAGGTCAAATTCAAACTGTCTTCAGTACACGAACGTCGTACATACTCAGCACGGTGACATCAGGCAATACGGTGGTGGTATCGCAATACCTTACAGTCACGACAACAAGGTTTCAGTTTCAGGTTGGTCATACGTTATACATTAAGGTTCATAATTTATGATAAGTTGCAGGGTTAATTATTTTTCTGAATTATGATAGCGAACTAGCAACATTTCATTCAATATTATAATTTATATTATTATAATGTAAGATTCTAACTACGTCATTCTTTTATCAGAAAAACATATATTCCCCCTGATTTCGTAAATATATATGACAATATTTACTACTATAACATCTTTAAGACAAAAAAAAAAAAACTTTTCGATTGTTACTTCTCGCACGTTTTCACGTTTTCTTACATTAACGTTATAATAATAATAATTGTTGACTAATAATGTTGCGTTTGACAGACACTGGTATCGACGGTGACTTCCTGCGGGTCATCGCAAGTTGTGTTCGTGACCAGAACTCAGGTCATCGAGTGCGAGGATGACACACGCACACGCACGAGGACCAGAACACGAACCATCACACGCACCTTCACTGACGTCGGTGGCACCAACCCAATCTTCTGTGAGTGAAGCTTTTGCGCTTTTAGTTACATGCCGCGGGTATGATTCGCAGTATGTTTATACAAAGACACTTGAATCATGAGTATCGCTCTCATTCAGGACAGGTGTAAAGGATTGTGCCAAAAGAAATTAAACATTTACATGAACGTGTTTTTTATGTTGATAATGCATCACGCCTCATGCTCACTCATAAATGTCGAATTATATATTTGTCTGCTCGTTATTAGGGCATTAAAATATTTGTACTACATTATATTAGGGTGGCCCAGTGGTTAAAGTTCAGAGTCCCAGGATTGGAGCAGAAAGGCGCGGGTTCGATCCCAGCTCTGTGCGCCAGTTTCTGGTCAGAATCGGCGAGGAGGCCGGGCGGTTAAGCACAGTAGAATTGGAGCAGTGAGTTGCGAGTTCGAGACCGCAAAATGCTGTGAATGTTCTGCGATGTTAAGAATCGGCGACAGGCCTACGGCCTAATAAACGCTGAAACCGCTATATATTTATGCTTTTAAATCTGCTCTCACATCAATCACTCATTAGAACAAATGGTCGCTCGCACATTAATAACACATTACATCTGCTCGGACATCAATGAGACATTACAACATCTGTTTCAACATCGATGGTACATTACAAAACGTTTCTTCACATCTATGACTCATGAAAGCCGCTGTTTGTACAAGTAAGACGCATTACAACATCAGCGTACACATTTATGTTGAAGTGAAACTACCGTACATTTATAACGCACCCCAACAACTGGTCATACATCAATTACTCATGGCAATTGATCTGAATGTTCAGTAACTGTCCATTTCAACATCCACGGTTACTCTGAACATGAGCCCTTGCATGGATGATACATCGAAACATTCACCAAAGCTATCTCACAAAACGTTATCGCACATCTATGACGCATTACCATTGCTGGTACAGAACCGAGTCAACGACGCATTAAAATATCTGTCATCGCACGAAAAATTCGCTATAATTTCTATTCTCTAAGAGCAATATCTAATCTGGCAGCTGCTCTTTGGATTTTGCCGACTCTTGATAGCACGAATAACAATAAGATTTTGTATTGTGGTTCCACCAAAAATATTCCTGACAAGTAGACACTCACGGGTGCGCAAATGTAAACTCTCACGACCAAAATGTGTCCTTTTTCAGATTCACCAACTCAAACCATCCCGTCGTCTTACCTGCGCACCGAAGTTTAACATCGCTGCACTGCCATCCAAATACAATTAGTAATTTTTCATAAATTCTTACTCATACGACCATACGACGCTTTTATCGCCATCGGCATCGGACACTAGTTGGGATAAAGCAGCCGTGGTGAGCCTGTTTGTGCTGCTCCTTGAGTTCACGAAGTAAAGTCGATGATGTTTCAATTTATCTCTTCGACCCACCCAAACTGGCACCCACACCCTACGTCGATCGATAAGGTTTTTCGTCTCTTCAGCTAAAGCTGCTAAAATTTCATCAAAAGCTTCAGCAGTAGCTTCCTCAAACTCGCAATTACTGTCACGTTACATATTTTTTACCCGAGCACAAACTTAACTCAAATGTTTCCAACGACGCAGGGTCGCTAGCGGATGAGAAATGCTGTTTAGCTAGTTATTTTCTCGTGAATAAGCTTAATTTAAGACCAGTAAAACTAGAAGGGTGAATTATTTGCCGCCAATACTACCGGCTAAAACTTTCCGTGTGCAAGCACCTTGACCTCACAAGTTATCTCGACGTTGATTGCGATTGATAACTCCTGGACTTTGGAAAGCTCGTTATCTTGACTCTCGCTGATAGTTTCCAACCATGGCAATGGCAGGTAATAAATACTCATGCATTAGTTGGAGAATGAGAAAAAAACTGTTCATATATATATTCATTCAACATAGGACTCCCTTTGACGTTTTAGTACATTAACAATTGTATTTTTCATATTACGCAAAGGAAATTTCAAATACCTCATTTTTAATCTAAATCAAACCTACCCGTTTTGCAATGTCTCACAATTCCACCACAATAACTTGATTATAATTTATACATTTATACTTATATACCCAGGTAAAATATCCCTTCTGAATAGGCATGAATTGTGGAACTCGTTTGAATTGGTCCCATATATTTGCTAAATTTCCAGAATCTGACCTCAAACAGTCAAACAACCTAACATTTGAAAATAAATTATTTATTTGTAAATCTTTCTTTGTTTTCATAATTTAGAGCTTACGATCATAAAATGTAGGACTAGTTAGAGTGCGCATCCCGTTTACTTACTGCGCACCAACTTACATTAATCAACGTGGTTAAATTTAGAAATTTTAACTGGGTGTGACCTCGCACGAGTGCGTATTTTGCTTTTCAGGGTTTTTACTCATGATGAATTATGGCTCTATAGTTCGAGTGTGATTCGAGATCGAGGAGCGATTTAGGGCGATTGTTATTCACTGGAGAGTCGAGTTATCGCAAACCGCTAACCGCAACCGAACGTTTAACATGACAATATTGAGATGACATGTTCAATAGGAAAACAGGGCCGTGTAATTGTATAAATCGAGAGGAGCTTATAAGAGCAGTTTGATTATAGTCTTGACCACTCGCCTTTGTTGATAAGACATTGTGTATATAATGTGAGCGAATTCCCTGTAGAATTGCATATGATAGGCGTTGGAGCTTGAGTAAACTTAACCGTGCAACTGTATAACGCAGAAGAAAATGCGATTTGGAATTGGGCGATGTTACTTAGGACTTGGCAATAACGATGAAATTCTGCTTGCCAAAAAATGAGACCTATAATGTATAAATGTACGATTATAGCCATCAGGTGTTGGAGTATAATTTAGCGTTTGTTACGTGAATCTTTCATGAAATGAATATAAAAGTTTCATATGTTAAACATTTATCAGTCTGCGCTGAAATCTCTCCATTTGAAGAATTCAGCATTCTATTGTATCCGCCGTACCCGTGAGGTACGTACAGGTCTATCGTACCGGTCTTGTGATAAGGCTGAGCCTACCTGAATTGATCATTCAGAGGTCATCTTTTGGCTTTAATGTGGCTTTCGTGAATTCAGTCCACCCGGCAGTGCCGGCACCCAACGCGAACACCCTGAAAAGATCTTTTGGCATTCGATAATTTTACTAGAAATTGCTGCCTTATCCTTGTTTGAAATCCTTCAAAACTACAAAGTAATGCATTTTGAATTACTCTTTCATAATTACGTTGCCATGTGCAATACTCTACGTATTCAATTCGCGATTTGAATGGGAGAAAAATCCGCAACTCTTGTTCAGAGTGTTCTTGTGCGAGTTGTGTCTAGTATTACCTACTTGAGACTGAGGGTCTTGCGTGAACTGTGGTCAAGATAAGACATGATCCATCTCCTGATTCACCTCTCAGTGAACTTCTTAGGTACCGTACCTCTTGGCTCTTTAGGCTCTTTGGCCACATCATGGCCAGTCGGCAGTCACCACCCACGTCTCACCTGCAAGGCTGCAACCAGCAGGTGCACATAACCTAGTTGGATTTGGGATTGGGGCCTTTGGGGGAAATATGCTTATAAGTTATAGAGTTATTGCCCATGCCCCCTACCTTATTGAATAACTGACATAGGTAAACGTACCTACAAGCTACAATCTGTTGTTAGTGGCTTAGTCATTACTCATTAGTGCCCTTGAACGAAGATTCAACACCTGTGGAAGGTGGAACACGCAAATTTGTGAAGATGGAGATTGGAGAGTCTAGGACTAAGAGTCTAAGACTAGGAGAGACATAACAAAGTGGTGCCCTGCAGCCCTGGAATTGGATGATAAGTCATAACTCTCATAAGAGACAAATGACTGAAGAAAGTAGGTATTCTCAGTCTGACTGTGCTGAAGCTGAAGTAGCCAGTAGGCAAGTAGTCTTTGAGAGCCATAACCTAGTAACAAGATTACAAGAATGAAAATTGGCTACACGCTTTTGGCTACATCTCTTACTCAATTCAAGTTTTTAAATTACCTATCAATGCCTGCAATTTGGACACTCTGCTAATGGATGCACAAGCAAGATAAGATTTCTGGTCTCAGGTCTGCTCTTATCTTGCGCAAGCAAGATAAGATGTCTGGTCTTGCTTCAGCCTTCAGCCAGTGCAAAAGCAATGTTCTTGAGGCTGGTAGTCAGACTGGCTGCTTGGCAAAGTCTGAGAGTGAGGTATTTGTGACACAACAGCAGTGTGCAATTTTTTTCTGCTCTTGGCTTTGCCAGTTTCTACTCGTGAGCTTGTACTGTTCTTAATATGATATCTGTCTAAATAATCTGAGACTGCACCATTTCTGCGGCAATGGGCAGCTTTCAGGTGGCCAAGTAATGGCCAGCGGTTTAGCTAGAATTAATTGGCCTCAGCGGCTCAGCCAACCACTGGCCATGTATTATTCCTCACCTCTCAGGCTCTCATTGAGTTCCCCTTCTCTGTACCACCAGTCATCAACTGAGTCTGACAGGCAAGATTTATGATGTCTGTTTCACTTCAAACATTCCACAATGCCTAGTCACTTCATGTATGAGCATGCTTGTTCATAACTAGTTTTTGGTTGGTAATATCTAAAAAAAATAGGCCGATCAAGAAATGCCGAGTATACCATTCAGTGGACAATAAAAATTATAACCCATTAACATCTCAAAAAAGTGTAAAATTTGCAGACTTGGTAAACATTATTATTCCAAGTTTCTTAGAATTGCCTTCATCATAACTCCTTTAATACAAGGTTTGCATATTTTTTGCAACTGTTGACCCAGGGCCATTTGTAAATAAATACCTGGGTAAGCATGGGAAAATTTACATAAACTCCAGCCTAGTTTGTAAAGAAATTTATTGGGAAGAGAAGAGTCTGTTCAAAGGCTCATGGTTCTCAATCAGAGCCTGGGGTGTACCAATGGCAGTGGGCCCGCAAAGCCAACTCACCTGCTTGTGAGTGCACTCCAAAGTGTGCTGTACCAGTTAGTCGTGACCCCTCTAAGCCCAAAGTAAGAGCTGCTGGTGTCCATGGGACTGGGAGAGGTTTGCTGGGGTACCACCCATCTCAGGTCAGGCATGGCATGCAGATGTCTGCCAGCTTGCCAAAGTACATCACAGGTTGAACAGTCAGGGTGGTATTAGCAGGATTGGTTCACTGTCATATAGTCAGGTTGTTTCTGATAGATTGAGGGTTGATGATGTCAGTGAATGCTCCTGCTCCATTGTTGTTAATGTCTGGTGTTACAGCTCTACCGGCTAATTTTATGGTTCACTTGACTGTCTTGTTGATTTGTTTTCTATTTCATTGCATAAAGAATCTCCTCTGAAATCCTGCTTGTTGATTTGTGCTGTGCTACTATTCAAAAACATTTTGGGCTCACTTTGGCTGTGTCAAACTTGGCAGAATCTCCAGATGTTGTTGCTTTTGCTGATTGTGCTGTTGTTGCTTCCGCTGATTATCCTTTTTGGATATGTTGTTTCTTCTGTAAATTGTGCTGTTGTTTCTCCTGCATATTGTGCTGTTGCTGCTTCTGCTGACCTTGCTGCTGTGGCTTCTGCTGATTGTGCTGGCAATGCAAGTTCTGTAAACTCTTCAACTCCAGAGGATGTCTATTCAGCTGATGATGAAGTTGGGTCTGGCTTCGATGTTGAAAAAATTTTGACTGGTCTCACATTTGGATATGTCAGGTGAAGATGTTGCATCTAGTAAAGAGCGGGTTTCTGTTATCCCTGGATGGCATAGTGGTCAGGCCCCAACCTCCACTAAACCCAGTCCAGTTTTGGGCACTGGTCAGTATGGTCATAGGGTCAATGATAAGGTATGTTCCAGTGCAGGATCTACAACTTGGAAAACTGGTCAATCTAAGTCACGCAATTTCAGAAAGAAATAGCTTATCCAGGAGCTGATGTGATTTGATGTCCCTTTCTCTGGTTTCCTTGAATTGCAACAGTCTTTATGCCCAGTTAACTGAAGTCAAGTTACTATTCTATAGCTTGAAGCCAATTCTCAAGTGCCTTTCTGAGACTTGGGTGAAGGATGCTCATTTGCCAACATTTTATGGATATCACTGCTTGTGGTATAATAGAGTAACGCATGGTGGAGTTGGTGTTTGCATTTTGATCCAATCCTGGATCAAAATCCTGGTGCTTCAAAGAGATCAAGCTGAATGCATTACAGGGGGGCGTCTTGGTGGTGCAGATCACCACTGTGCACTTGGGTTCTCATAGCTTCTTCTCTCTTCTTAATCTCTACAACCCCAATACTGCAGTAACTTTTCCAGAGCTTCTTCACTACACTGAACAACTTGACCCAGTTTACTTTTTATGTTAACTGGGGACTTCCATGCGCATTCTCCTCTTCTCTCTACTGCCTGCTCTCATGCAGATTCACCTGGGCAGTCCCTTGAGCACCTGGGCAGTCCTTCTGTCCACCTTGCTAAATTTACTCAATGCAACTGATTTCTATACCTATATTGATCGCAGAACGGGCAGATGTATCAGATAGGACCTGATTTTAGTTACATCAGATGTCTTACCATGCTTACATCTGGAAAGGCTAAGAGATGTGGGAAGTGATCACTATCCCATTCTAGCCTCTTCAAGTATTCCTCTTCATGTCTTGGCATCCTTGCTTGTACTAAAATGGAATCCCACCTCTGGAACTCTGCATAAAATGCCTGGGCACCTAACCCTCCATAGCTTTGTACAACCAGCATCAGTTGAGGAAGTGATTGCGGAGATGACCTCAGGTATTATTGATACTGCATCTGTTTGTATTCCACGGACAAGTGGCAAGCATCTAAATTGGCGAAATTTTCCCTGGTGCAAGGTAGCTTCTGGCGAGGCAGGCATCGTGCACGAGCAGGCATCGTGCTCGTCAAGCGCTGGAGAGGCATCCCATTTGGGCCAGCTCATTGAAAATAAGCGCTGCCAGGCCTTTGCCAGGAATTGTATATTCCGAAGTAAAGTTAAATATAAAAGGAATTTTTTGTCATCAATAACTTGCACAATGCCTATTGATGTTGCATGGCAAAAAATTTGACTGCTGCAATCACGTTCTGCAGTGCCTATCTACCCTATGGTTGACAATGGGCAACTGCTGAGCAATACCCTGCCAAGGCAAATTTATTCTGCCAAAACTTTCAGGCTGTTGGAGGAAGTGGTGACTTGTAAGCCCCTGCAGCTCTACATAGGTAGGGTTATTATTGGAAGCTGGGCTGGAACTGGGGACTATAACTGTTGTTTCAGTGGGGATTAGCTGTCCCAAGCTATGAGGCACATGCGGCTGACTAAGTACATCAGGCAAGGATGAAAGACATAATAGTTTTGTAAAAGCCCTCTCCGATGAACACTGCAACTCACTTTTGACTTTATACAATCAAAGCTTTCAGCTAGGCATCCTTCCAACTTCCTGGAAGGAAAGTATTATATTGCCTATCCTGAAACTTGGGTAAGATCCAAGCTTATCAACTTCTTATTGCCCCATCACGCTGCTGTCCTGTCTTGGTAAACCAGTGGTTCCCAAACTTTTTCAAGCTGGCGCCCCCTTTGGCTCCCTAGTGGATTTCTAGACACAGACACAAATAAAATCATGCGCCTCTTTCTATAAAATTTTGTACGCTGCAATTTGTGCCTGGCATTTGTCACTGTAGCGCAGTTAATTAAAGCGACACTGAGATGAAATGAGAGAAGGCAGCCATAGGTTTGAGCCTTGGGAAGTTCAGTTCATTTCTTGTTGCTGCTTGTGGGTTACACTTGGTCGCTATAAATAGATGGGTTTTCACTCAGCATGGCCATGGTTTGGTTTCCTTAATCCTCCTGTAGTCTTTGAGTCAAACCGTCAAAATTTCCGACCCTATGCCCAGATGCTGTAACTATTCATTGAATACTTGCCCTTCCCTATGATTCACAATACTCGGTTCCACCAACTTAAATTAGTAATAGGTAGAATTCAGGAGGAATTCGGGGGAATAACATGTATTTATACAAGCGGTTACCCATATCATATTGTGCAAAAACAACAAAAGCACAGTATATGTGGGAATTGAGAAAAATTATCAAGCATGGCTACATGTTGGATATATGCACCACTATCCCTCGAATTCTACCCTCTTGTTACCATCAGCATTAATTTATGGTCTAACAAAACTTGCACCATTTAAATGTATAGAGCTGGAGTAGATTATTCACATGTCCTAGGATGTAATTTGAATGCTTCGAATATAATGCGCGAAAGGGCATAGCACTGACTAGTAACTTGGCAGCTCTTCCAAATTTCCCATGTGTATTTTCTTGCTACTTACTAACCTCCTATCTCCTGCAGATGTCCTATACGGTCATGTGAGGGGAAATCACTGGCTAGGGAGAGCAGTTGTGGGTGGTCTCCCTGATCTTAATGCAAGTTGTTTATCAAGAATTTTATCATTTACCTCAATTCCTGGACCATGTAGAGGTAGGGTAGCTAAAGGTGCTTAAGGGGTTAGACGATAAGGGAAATACCTGACATTTTGATATCGTAATTTTCGTACATGTTATAACCAATATAAAGTTACATATTTTTATGTTTTATTGCTTATTGTTGATGCTAATTGATATTTTATCATTGCGCAGATACATTTAGTTGATTTTTGTGTCTATAAATTAACCTATAAGCAATAGATTGCAAGTATCTTTGACTTTTATAGAGGCAAAATTGTTGGTGCTCGTATGGCAGGTGCTAGTGCGACAGAAACTTCCCGAGTGATTGACGTTTCTAGAGGTACCGTCTCAAATGTAATGACTGCTTTTGAAAGAGATGGAAAAACGTCCTCAGCAAAGCACAGGTCTAGCCAAAAGTCGAAGTTTTCTGCGAGAGACTGTCGGTACCTAAATCGAATTGTGAGGGACAATCGAAAGATCACGGCTGTTCAAATTACTGCAGACCTCAATGGATACCTGCAGAACGCAGTGGCCATGAAGTCTGTCTGCCGAGAGCTGCACAGATGTCGATTCTATGAAAGAGCTGCAATTTGAAAACCTGACTTCAAATACAAATACATCAAATCGTTTTGAGCGTTTTCTAAACGTTTTTGGTGTAAAACCTCCAGAATTGGTCCCTCGAGCAGTGTCAAAATGTGATTTTCAATGAAGAATCGTCGTTTACCTTATTTCCAACCTCTGGCCGAGTTTACGTTAGGAGACAACTAAGAGTCGTTTAATCCCGACTGCACTGCCACCCGTAAAACATGGCGGGGGATCTCTGATGACCTGAGGTGCTATTTCTTTTTAAGTCCGACTGACCAATGATTTCTCTTAAATCCGGCGGACCAATGATTTCTCTTCATTTAAGAATTCACAGCCATGACTATTTAGGAATTTTGGAGGACCAAGTTCATTCAATGGTTCAAGCACCGTTTCCGGAGGTGAACCCCACTTTTCTAGATGATAATGCCTCGATCCATACAGCTGGAATTGTCAAAAAATGGCACTTTCTCATGAAGATGAGCATCTTATTTGGCCACAACAATCACCAGGCCTGAATGTTATCGAATATTATGGTGGTTTTTAGAGATGCAAGTCAGAAGTCGATTCCCGCAGCCACCGTCTTTAAAAGAGCCTGAGGGAGTTTTAACTGAATAATTTGTTAAAATTTCTTTAGTAACAATTCACAATTTTTATGAATCAATACCTCGGAGAATTGAGGCTGTAATTGCGGCAAAAAGTAGACGTACACCATACTAAAATATTTTTGTGGATTTCTTTGGCGTTTCCCTTATTTTGTCTAACCCCTGTAAACACGAGGATAGCAGCGGCGAGAGTTTTCGCTGGAAGTATTTCACGCTGTTGGGTTTGCCGGCTGAAAGTTTATTCACAAGGAAGGTATTTGTTTAATGGTATTTTCACATCTGCATGTGCCAGAGCGTCGTTAGAAACCATCGAGTGAGGTCACGGTGCGACGGCGGGATATAGAACGTGCATGTAATGTCAAATTTGAGGACGCTTTTGATAAAGCAGTTGGTGGTTTTGGTACAACTCTAGAAATGGGAACTTGGTCAGGTGTGAAAAACGAGGTGAAATACTTTGTCAAGGATGAAAACTTTTTCCGAGTTGGAAAACTTTTTCCGAGTTGAAAAACTTTTTTAAATCGTTGTTGAGTGTCGGTGAGAGACCTAATAAGCTCTTGTTTAAGTTTCAAAACACTATACTTTCTCAATTTTTTTTTTTTGAAAATTCATCGTGACGTACATTCCACAGTAGATCGTACTCATGGAATATCTATAAGAACAGTTCAATATCATCTGAACGCCTATTAACGTTATTAGAACCATCATCGTTGGGACAAGATATAGTTCATAACATTAGAAGCACTTGCCCTAGAAGCCTTCATTACGACTGCTGTAGCCAAACTGTTGTCATTTCATGGCATATTAACACAACAACCTGTACTGCTTCAGACGCAATTGCATTTGAGGAATAAATCAACACAATATTTGAAGTGTGAAAACTTGCAACTAATACAATCTCTGTATAAGTGACTGTGCCTTAACGGGGCATTTATGGTGTGCTTTCATAAAATTTTCAAGGCTTTCATGCTCATGGAACTTTGAATGCTCCAGGCTGCATCAATTATGGCTTCAGTTCTTGGTTCGAACTGACGGCTGACCTTGCTTGAGCTGAATAAGAGATACATGTTACTTGTATTAACCCCTCATACAAAGTTCTTACATTTTAAATTCATTGAATTGTCTTGTAATATGTGTATTAATGCTTTATATTTATTTCTCAGATTTATTAGCTGCCCGATGAACCCTGTGAAGCTGTAAGGTGCTTGGTTGATACAACCAAAACCTTAAAAAACTAACAAAAGAAGTTAGAAGGTTAATGAAAACTATTTGTTGAAGGGTCATTTCAGTTCGATTGCTATTCTAGTATCTAAAATGGTTGCCAAATCTTTCCTTGCAGCATCAATACCATTTAGGTGAGTTAACATTTATATTAATTAGTTCCCTGAACCAATTATTCACAGAGGTTCAGTCAAAGATGTTCTTCAGATTTTTCTGCTTCAGATGAACCATTTGAAGGCTATTAATTAAAAGTTTTAAATTTTTGCAGCGGATAATTAAGAAGTAGGTATACATAATCATATTAGCTGCTGTGATTTTTGATTGTATTATAATGATGTAATCAATGACCAAAAAATCAAGGTTAATATGGAAGGTAACAATCCAATGTTACTGTATTATTGGCTATGAATTGATGTTGTATACAACTATTTATTCAGTTCTGTTATAAACTCCTACTGTCAATGACCATCAAGTTGCTACTGCATCTAATTTATAAATTAAATAACAAAAATGTAATTACTGATTAGCAAAACAATTTTGAATGCCAGAAAAATCTTCATGCTCACAAGCTTTTGAAATCTGTACAAAAATGTTGTTAATTAATTGTAATTTGAAATTTTTTTTTTTTTTTTTTGAGAGAGAGAGATTGCAACTTGAGGAAGATGGCCACTTGTGTGTTGATCACAGGAATACCTTTAACATTGTAAATCCTGTCTTGTAGAAACATCTTTTATACTCAACAGACAATAAATAATATTTTTGCCAACGTGACAATATTGACGTAAAATGTTTTTGGTCTGTTCAACTTTTGATGAATGATCTTGCAGGCGGTGCTTCTTCAACTCAACTGCCAATCATGTTGTCAATGTTCAAGCATGCAGGAATTTGGGTCCATCTTTCATTGGAGGCGCACCAAGATACATGTCATCTTCTATTGCACAGCAGTTTGAAGAAGTGAAACATCGACTGGCATCCCTAAAGGAAGACCCTGGTTTGTGTTGGACAGCTGAAATTGTTTATTCTATGACCATCTCCGAATAGATTTTATTATCTTCTGCAAAGGACTGCTGATATTTTCTCCAATACCAATGAACCCCTGGAAATTTTTATTTAGCATTTATATACACCTAGAACCTTTTTGATTGAATTATTAAATGACAGTGTACATAAGCTGAGGTTTGCTCAATTTGTTGTGTGTAACCTAAAATTTTAATGCATTACACAAGGAGACAGTGCTAAGTGTTCTTGCCATAACCTGATTCCTAAAGTTCTAGTTGGTGATTTATTATTATTGGAAAATATGAGTATACCTATAATCTCGGTTTCCCACTTGAAGTGTACTGACGATTATGACACAATAACTTAACAAAATTTAGTTATTCATTAACTTTCATTAAGAAAACACTTCGGTATTGATGAAGCGTGTGTACTGTTGGGTTCTTAGGAATACACCAATTTACTTCTAGGGATGCAGTACTGCGTTGTATAGTGATAATTTTTTGGTTACTTATACAGCACACTTGAAAGCTCTTCAATCCACAACAGTCAATGCAACTAACAAAATTAGGGTTCTTGCTTATGTCTGGTAAGCGTCGAATAAATACAGAACAAAATATGATGCGAGTTATAAAATTTTCAAAACTCAGTCATAAATCATCATATTAAATTAACCATCCCCTATTAATTAACCAATTAACATATTAACGTAACCATCACCTAAATTATCATTTACCATCTCTCTTGGTCACATCATTAATGTTCCTGTATAAAGAAAACCCTTAATTTATATATTTTCCTGCTGCTAACGAATGCATTGCAATTTCGATATTCTTTTGTAATTTTTCTTGTTCATGGACGATATCTCATTTTCTGTGCAGGTAATGAAGTCAAATTGAAGATGTATGCACTGTACAAGCAAGGCATGGAAGGGAAAGCAACCGGCAAGAGACCAGGTGTTATGGACTTCGTTGCTCGAGCCAAGTGGGATGCATGGAACAGTCTTGCCGACATGTCTAAGGAGGAAGCTCTTAAGGCATATCTTGCTATAGTTGATGAGCTTTCTGCTGCTCAGGTTAGAACCAATGCTATTTAATGGATTAATCTATTAGTATGAATTTGATAAAAACTTTCAAAACTGATGACTTGTAATGCTAATCATATGATCACAAATCATTTCAGTCCCTTTAATTTCGATTAAAAATTTTGAAGGTTTATCATTATTGTTTTTTGATTTGATGAACAGTCATGAACTTGATTCCAACTGGGTAGACATTATGCTTGCTGATTTATTGATTACCGAGATATTTTATATTATTATGAATATTTAATTAATTACTTATTACTTGTTATTCATGTTTTCTGTAGTCACATTTCACTTCTCCAATTAGGGAGCAACTTCAACCGAAGAACCAAGTATCCTAGTGACAGTGGAAGATGGTCTTAGGATCATCAAACTTAACAGACCAAAGAAGAAGAATGCACTCAACCCTGAGGTGTGTTTCCGCGCAAGTTTCAGATTGGATACCCATTGTCAAAGCCTCATAGGGATGTCAAATTCCAAATTATATGTCCATCACTAATTAAAATATAAGTAAAGTGTCAGTTCTGTAAAAAGTTATGCTCCTAAATTTCAGAATGAAAGTAAATTAAACTTTCAATGTGTTAGAAAGGCTTCCAATTGGATGCCAGAATTGGCTAGTTAAATGTTCCAGTGAATGTTTCTAGGTTTATTATTTCTTATTGTCAATCAAATTTTCATTCAGAGAGACTCGGTGCAGTCTGGAAAATCACCTTAATCGACATTCACAAATCAGGTTTTATCTTCAGAGAAGACGACGTGGAAATTGACCAATTTTGCTTGCAAATTCCAAGTATAAAGAATGTTTTTGATGTCTGAATCAGAAGCAATCTGGGCGTTTTTCGTAAATAATAACTATTTTTTTGCAATCTTGGCTGACATTTTGTTTTTCTAGATGTATTTCCGTTGGACTGAATTGATGCACGAGGCAGCAAAGGACGACAAGACTGTTTTGACTGCCATCACGGGCGCGGGTGACTTCTTCTGCTCTGGCAACGACCTCGGGAATTTCATGAACATACCTCCGGGTGGTGAAGCTGAGCTCGCCAACCGCACTAAAGAGTTTCTTTACCAGTGAGTTCAGGACGTTGTCAACAAAATGCTAAAGTTCATACTGTAATAAAGAATGGACCATAGGTAGGCATTTATTTTTTAGCAGCTGAATGAATCCTCAGACTGGTGAAATGTGTTCAAAAGAAATGCAACTGTTTCTCGTGCAGGTTCATTGATGCCTTCATTGAGTTCCCTAAACCTTTGATTGGCGTGGTGAATGGTCCCGCAGTCGGGGTGTCGGTGACCACCCTAGGCCTCTATGACGCCGTGTATTCTTCTGATCAGGTATGTCTGCTTGTATTTACTCATTTGCTTATTTCCAGTCGATGAAATTAGAAAAATATTTTCCTCACTGGAATAAGAGAATCTATCTAGAACCAGCTTAATTTTTTCCCTGAGTCACGATTTTAAATTTGAATCTCAAATGTTCATCTCTCTTTCGTGTGGTCACTAAAAGCTATAGGCGGGATATCCTGTATCAATATTGTTTCTGTGCCATGAATTCTGAATTAAAATTGAGGTGTCCGTGAAACAAATGAATTCCGCTCAACTAGAAATGTAACTAACACAAGGACGTCTATAGCGTGTCACGGCTCTGACATTTTATTGGTGATAATAACTATGGTTGTTCCCCTCACTTCGAACTCTAATGGCATTATCGTTTGTTTGTCAAACTCGTATGAAATGCAAATCATGCTCCTCTAAAGCAATCTCGAGCACCTGCTGCTGCAGCCTTGATTGCCCTGAAATACAAGCAATTTGTGTGCAGGCTTGGTTCCAGACGCCCTTTTCACAGCTCGGCCAAACCGCTGAAGGATGTTCATCTTACGTGTTCCCTCGCTTGATGGGCCCAGGCATCGCATCAGAGATGCTTATGTTCAACAAGAAGGTCTGTGTAGTACTGTTTATCTTAGGCACAATTCGCAACTCAGCATTTGCGCTTATAAATCAACTCTGCGTGTGGGATTTCCCTACACGACGAATAAACTTTGCATCAAGAAGACGTACAAAATTTTGTCTGTTGTTTAGTGGAGTGCACCTGGAATTATTGTTTTTTTTTTTTTTATTTTTTTTATTGCTTTTGCTTTTTGCTTACTTACATTCAAATTATAAATGATTTCATTCGACTATCGACATAACTGTAAACTTGTGGTTCATTCTAAAGAAACATTTTTGTACTGGAAACTTTTATTTCGATCTAAATACATTTTTTCTATCTTATAAACTTGGTGAACTTGGACTTCAGTTAAGCACTTTGATTGCTAAACGCACTCCTCTGTACATTTAAAGTTAATCCACAACATATTTAAAGTAACTATAACTTGGGAAATTGATAATCACTGAAGTCTAAGTAGATGATGCTGTATCATATTTGTATATTAGTTTGTTCTGGTGGGATCGGCTTATCAAAACATGACAAAGTGTTTGTGATCATCCGGATAAAAGTAGCTGCAATCGCGTTCAGAAATTTCGATGCGATCTATGATCGTGTGTTTGAGCAGACGTCACGATCTTTGACATCAGCAAAGAACAAAACCTCCTTAACTTACGAAGCCAAATCGGAATGAGGAGGAGTCACTTCCTTATCGAACAAATATGGCTTTCTTCGTAGGCGGTAGGTCTACGAAATGTGGCGTGATTCTTCGTAGGTTTAAATTCCTATTTGTGTAAGTCGTTGCTGAGCCGCTAGCTGGAGATGGACTGACGTTTGCTCTCGGTTCTCTTCTGCGTGATGATCGAGGAAGGACGTTTAACCAAAAACATTAGCATTCTTGACTGTTGAAGACTAATCGGTACATCTTACAAAAGTAAAAGAAGTCGGGCAAGAGTTTGCGGTATATTATTTAGTTATTAATATATTTATTATTATATTATGTACAGCACAACATGAAGCATGAGGTGATCGTTACAGCTGTCAGCACATGAGGCACAGCGCTACAGGTTGGTGACAGAAGTCTTCCCTCACGACCGACTGCAGCAGGAGGTGTGGCCGCGTCTCCAGGCCTTAGCGAAGTTGCCCGCGCGCTGCCTCATCTACAGCAAGGAGCTCACTCGCGCTGCTGATAAGGAAATCCTCAAAAAAGTGAGTTATATTCTTATTCTTCTTTACGGTGAATGTCATGTCATGCTAAGTGATTGATTTAAACTCATGATTAGAGTAGTCCGAGTCACCAAGTAGTCCGAGTAGTTCGTTGGTTACAAAACACGTTGTGCTTCTCCATATAAGTGGATGAGGAAAATTCTTCAATCTTTTATTTGAACGACTAGGCTCAAAGTGACGAGTGTACTGACTGACACATGACATTAATTCGTTATGTTTGTCACTATTTCCTTAAAAATTACCTATTATTATGTCTAAATCTTGTTGTATTGTTCTTTTCCTAGACAAATCGTGCGGAGTGTGAACGTCTCTGCGAGCGCTGGCAGTCAGAAGACTGCAAGAATGCCATCATGAACTTCTTCTCTCGTCAAAGAAAGTGAAATCGGATTGTCTAAAGGAGTGAATAGATGCCATACATGAGATCAGGGCAGGTCAATCTGCTCTCGTGTGGACCAAACGGAACTTAATGACTGTAGTTTCTTTTGGTCGACTTGTTTTGTAGCTTGTCACTGCGTTCGATCGGTGAAGATCTTCGATAATTTTGTCAGTAGGAATTTATTTTTTTTATCTGGTCATAATCTTGTACCTACTATTTAACCAGAGACGACCTTGAAGTCTTCCACAATGCTTTTTCTAGAACTTTGTGGAAAGCAAATTTTAATGGTGTTTCATCATTCCAAATGAAAAGCAGGATCAATTTTAATTGAAACAAGAAAGAACTGTTGCCGTGTCCAAACACAATTTTATTTACTATAATGAATTCTAAACTTGATATATGATAGACACTATCCTGGGGAATTTTCGGTATAATTTTTTTCTTATGAAAGGTAAGGGAAGATCGAGGAAATTCTCATGCTGACTGAAGCGTCAGTGTGAAAATAACTTGATTATCCATGCGTTCTATTTTTAAGTTCTTGATTTTAGTTAGATTATTCTTCGAACTTAGTTATGCTACTAATAACCTTGTTTTATTATGTTCATTATATAGTAAATGATTTCACATTGTAAAACAATACGATAATTCTATCCTGGACCCAGAGTTCCATCTTAACCAGTGGTATTCCCGGCAGTATTTAGCGTGTGCAATGTTATCTTTGAGTCATTTTGAAACAATTCTGATTCAATCGATTTTTTTCCTCCTTTAAAATATGGTCTTATATTCTTATCAGCGAAGAATTAATTGAGAAGCAGAATTGCCGTAGAATCTCATAGAGTTCTGGTTCCGATTGGATGGAGTAATTTTGAAAAACATAGCTCCTGTACGAAAATGTTATGCTGTGTATCAGTTGAATTAAACTTTGCAGCACCACATTGGTATCATTTTTCGATTTGGAGGAGGATTCAACTAATTACACATCGTTTTTAAATGTGTTTCCAGAATTTATCGTCTTAAGGCTCTAGTAAGTCGTGAACCTAATATTTCATTACCGAATGCTGAATTTTATTTGGTTTAACGACGCCTTCGTCACGCTCGAGTGTTATTTAAAAATTTGTTTAGATCAAACAATTCAGAAGCTCATATAATGCGATGATCATGACGAGCGACACATCAGGTGGTAGATAACTCGTTTTTCTCAGTAGATGTTACTACTGAACAAGGCCCTATTCAGTTAAATTTATTTTTAACACTTGTGCAGATTTTAAGCGTTGTTACGTACGAATGATCATGTGAGAACATTGATCAACTTATTTTGTTACTATCCAGAGTTAATGGTCACATTTTGTATGATAAACGAGGAGCGACACGATTTTTGCAATGATTCCGGGTGCTTACGTCGTTCAGGTTTTTCGACCCTAATACAAGTATTAGGCGCCATATCCTATGCAGCAGGGGAAGATGAAACTCGAGGATAATCAGAGAGGAATGCATTATACAGTATGAACGAGGCTTCAAACATAGCTGAACGTAATACGTGCGAAAAATATACATCATTGACATATTCCTGTCAAATAAAAACTGATCCAACAACGGGCTGTGAATGTCATAAGCTATAATGTACGCGTCTGACTTGTGGCTTTTAATGTTTTTAACACTTTGACAGCATCTCTGAGATTAGCCCGTTTACCCCGCCTGCACATTTTTCAAACCTGTGGCAAGTTAGCAGTTACCCAACTAATAGATGTTGTGTGTCGTTTCATTTAGGTAAGATCAAACTTATTCAGTAAAAACGGCGGGACTGATGTGGAAAAGATTGACTGTCATCATTCTGTACGTAATGCGCCATATGTGGACACAGAAACTGTGCACCAATTGTGGTACATGATGTGGGGAGAAATCGGTTTATCACTCTATACAATGTGAGCCGTGCGTATTTACGCACTATCACGCAAAAGCAAAGTATAAATTGTTGCTTTCATCCATGTTTGACTATTTATTCAGTTATTATTCAAGTTTAGATTCATATAATAAGAGATTTTCCTTAACATAACATAGTGATGTCGGCGCTGAAGTGTAGGCCTGATGTGGCCTGTCGCCGATTCTTTTCCTTTTCGTGCCTTGTTCTGTTGTTCATAGATCTAAACTCGTGTCATTTGACCGGATCTTTTCATGACTGACGATAGTTTGAAGTAGCTACTAGACTACTAGGAGCTAGGCATTTCAAATCCTGTCTCTTATACACATCTAGATGTGTATAAGAGACAGGTTCTAGTTGGTTCAACGAAAGTGGGCTGTCCTCTGTCCCACTCGATAATTTGAGATATACATCCTGATTTTACTCTTTCTCTGAAATGCTGCTTGTAACAGAAGCTCAAGACAATATATACGATGAATGATCTCCTGTCTCTTATACACATCTAGATGTGTATAAGAGACAGATCAAAACCTGGCAGCTGAAATTCAACAGGTACAATTTTCCCCCCGTGATTTTTAGGAAGTGTTTCTGTAATACAAATAATGTCTATACTCTCGTTTGCGATCACAGTTAACAGTTCACTTTTTTTGTTCAAAACGGAATCCGAGTTCGTGTAAAAACATTTTAAAACTTTTTGTCCACTTTCACTTTGATGTATGCGGTTACTTCCTACATTATTTACAGGCCTTGATCTACGGACATCGTTCCTACTAATTACTTGTCCTCCATCTCCTCCGACTGTCCGTGAGCAGCCGGTGTTGTCTTGGCAGCTTGGAAGTGATTGACCTGATTTTTCGTACCTTTCCGCCTGATTCTCTCCTGCCACTTTTTGCGAAAAACCGCCCTTTGCAAGGGGGTGGAATCTTTCTTTACAAAAACTGACTTGTAATCAGCGGATTCTCCCAATTATATATCAACGATTTCAGGTTTTCTGTGAATTGACATTGCATGATGAAAATACTGGAAAGCAATTTCATGCAATCAAATGTATGTGTTTTTGTGGCATTGTATCTCAGTTCATTTTGAAGTGTTGTAGACTACTCTTTCAGGTTCTGTTTTGTATTTAAAGACACAGAGTTTACACACTTGTATTTAACTGCTTTCTCGCTGTTTTCAGCACGCTCCAGACCTGAGAAGAATCCTTTACAGTCACCAGCAAAGGTCTGAAGGTGTTGCCAGCAGCATCCTTCGAGCGTAGCCTCTTGCAAGATATAACATCAATCGATGTGTTGAGTACCTTGCTGCAACAGTCTACAACAAAGGCCGAGTCATCCATCACTCGGTCCTTCGCATCAGATGCGTTCTTTCAGGAATCCCAAACCAGACCAGGTTGGCCTTCCTACGTTCTCTATCAAGCAATTCACGTGGGCTTTCATTAGCGACTTCAGATAAATCAGCTGTCTTGTTCTTTACTTCCATTTCTTCCGTATTTTTTAACTGAGCCTTCACTTCAGTCAGCTCATTGCATAGCGAGCTTAGTTTATCACTCAGCGAGCGCACCATCTCACTCAAGGAGTTTACTACATCATTCAACAATTTCGACTCATTGCAGTGCTCTTCCACCGACTCCTCTCTTTTTCGAGCACCAAGAGTTGGTTTTTCGCAATCACGGCAAAACCAATGAAGCAATTTAGATTTCTGAAGAAATGTGTGCTCCTTAGAGCTCAACTTCGAACAGCTGATGCAAATGAGATCTTCGCATAGTTCACAGGTGACCATCTGGACTTCGCTCAAAGAGATCTCTTTGCAGTACTTGCAAACTTTCATCTCTGGCTGGGCTGATTTGCTTCTATTTTGTGTTCTAGAGTCCGTAGACGGCTTTTCTCTGAAGGCCGTAGAGGGCTTTTCGACTATCTTTTTTATTTTCTGTCCAGCCATTATTAAATTATTAAATGCACGAACTAGTTCTCTTGAACGGAGAAAAATACAGAAAATGACGGAGAAACATACAAAACTGAGTTGAGTTGAGTATAGTAAAGTTCCCTCGAAAATTCCGGCTTGAGGAACAGCTGAGCTGCAGCAGTAAAACGTGGTAAAGGGAACAGTGAAATTATATATATATCCTTATTATATATAAGCTACATAACATAATATAACATAGTGATGTCGGCGCTGAAGTGTAGGCCTGATGTGGCCTGTCACCGATTCTTTTCCCTTTCGTGCCTTGTTCACAGAAGATCTAAAAATCGTGTCGTTTGATCGGATCTTTTCATGACTGACTGTGAGGGAAAGCTCGCGAAATTTCAGATTTCCCGCTAAACATGCACGCCGCATCATGCGTGCCGGCAAACTTGCCTCACTGCTATCTCAGTCGTGGAGAAACGCGCGCCTGCCGCTCCTCGTTTTGCTGTTTGCCCGGTAAGTTGTGTAGGACTATAGCTTATTATCTCCTATCCTGTCCATTTACCGCGTTCAGTCAGTCGCCTATATCTTGCTAATTTTTAATGTAAATATTAAGGGAGTGTTGATTAAATTATGGATGTAACTTCAATTGCCTGGCCTGTTTTCTCTAGCGGCTGGGCATGGCCTTTGTAGGCTTCTGAAATGCATTTGCGCGAGCAATATATTAGTTTCCATGTTTCATGTTTTTCATTTGTTGATATTGTCCGTGCCCCAACGGTCTGCTCGCTTAAACGCCCTGGCACTGCAGCACCTACAGCCTGACATTGAACGTATCCCCCTTTGTTAAAAGTACGCCGGCGGGCCTGCTTGGTGGCGCTGACCACGTTACCTTCGGAGCCCTTGTTGTTTCCCTTCTAAAGCTGCTAGAGCCAGCTAGTTTTATGCGGGCCAGTTTCGTCGCATCAGCGTCCGTCCGCACTCCGCTCTGTTGAGCTGGCAAACCTCAAGTTGAGTTGGGCGCTGCGTGTGTGCGATCTGTCCGTGGTTGACCTAAGGAGGAGCCGACACGAAGCTTAGACTTGTTCCGTTAATTCCGTATCCGTTTCAGTGTGCATTTAGTTTAAAGTAACGTGATAGGTAAGCGCGCACTGTGCCATTCTCTGTACCCGCAACTTTCAGCTCTTTAGGAATTTATTCATTTTCTTAGTAAAGTATTAAAACTTGTTCGCCTTGTCCTTCCTTCCTGCAACGGTCTTGAACTGCCCTGACTCTGACGATAGTTTGAAATAGCTACTAGACTTCCACCGGGTTCGATATGGTGCTAGGCATTTCAAGTCTGAACATATATTTTTCCATAGCCTTATCTAGTCTGTTCTTGAACGCATTTACACTAACGCGTTCATACTTGGAGCGCCAACGAAGTCATCGGGGAGGCTGTTCCACATGTCGTTGATTCGAAGGGAGAAGAAATGTTTGTCGCGTGGAGAAGTTGCAGCGCAGTTTTTTAGTTTATAGCCGTGGCCCCTGGCGTTGGTTCTTGTTTCATATTCTAGTAATCCTTCGGGGACCTTGTATAAACCATGAGTGTATTTGTATACTTCAATGAGGTCCCCACGCAGACTTCGATATCTGAGGCTTGGAAGCTTCATAATCTTCAATCTTTCTTCATAGGACTTGCCCTTCAAGCCTGGAATTATCCTTGTTGCACGTCTTTGAACATTTTCTATTAAATTTTTGTCCTTTTCAAATCTCGGTGACCACACAACGTTTCCAAACTCTAGGTTCGGGCGCACGACAGCAACAAACAACTGCTTCAGCGCTTCTGCATCTAGGAACTCGTATGAGCGGCTGATAAGTCCAATAAGTTTGTTAGATAGGTTAGCTTGCGTCTCAACATGCTTAGAAAATTTCAGCTCCTTGTCGACATAAACTCCTAGATCTTTTCCATACAAGACTTTTCAATCATTACTCTCTGGTTGCAACCATGTCTTCTCATACTGTAATCTTCCAGTTCATTGTTCTTCCCGATGTGAAGTACTTTACACTTAAAATTATAATAATAGCGGTTTCGGCGTTTAGTAGGCTGAGGGCCTGTCGCCGATTCTTAACATCG